GAGTTTGTCAGTGCCTGGTCTAAAGTATACAAACTGGGGAAAAAATCTCACAAAATCCACGGGATAATAATTTTCTAGTATACATGTTTAAAGTAATAATATAAATATGAACCAATATGGAGGAAGAGAAATCAAACTGCTACTTGACTGAGATATCTGAAATGCTTGATTTCCTTTTAGTTTTCATAAAAATAAGTAGAACGTGAATATAAGTGCTCAAAATAACTACTCCATGTTGTCTGAATTGCTCACTTTGCTGTTTGTTGTTAAAGGAAAAAACAAAATGAATACTGAAGAATGTTTTACGATGGTCACATCGGCGTTTTAAGTAGGATAACATACAAATAAACACAAGCTGGCTTATTGACTGATGATATGAGTTTTCAGTATGATGGCGCTATGCAACGTTCATTTTCTACACCATTCAAATGAAAATAAATTTTGACAGCGTGTAAATGGGATTGACAGTTCTCTGGAGCTGTTATTTTCCCCAAAATACCCAGAAAATGACTCTCTGAATTGAAAATAAGTATATCCTATCTCTAGTGTGCATACAGCTAACACATGCACCATGAATGCTAAGGCCATTTCACACACACAATACGATTGCTGAGCTATATTGTGTCGAGGTAATCTTTGCTGAGGCAAATGTTGCTGAGGCAAACTTTGCTGAGGTAAATTGTCCTGAGGTAAACTTTGCTGAGGCAAATGTTGGTAAGGTAAACTTTGCTGAGGTAAACTTCACTGAGGTAAATGTTGCTGAGGTAAACTTTGCTGAGGTAAATTGTGCTGAGGTAAACTTTGCTGTGGTAAATGTTGCTGAGGTGAATTAGATTGAGGTAAATATTACTGAAGGAAAGTCTGCTGAGGTAAATGTAGCTGGAGGAAATTTTGTATCATTGAAAAAAATATGGTCCATTATAGATCCCCACCCCAATGTAACATCATTTGACTAAAAGAACACATATTAGCTTTTAATGCTTATGTGACTCTCACTAAACTCCGTGGAACTTATTTCTAAGCAATCATGCATACGATTGTGCTTATTTCACAATTCTATACATATTTACTTCCTTTGAACGAAGTGGGATTTGCTTTTGAGTAGGCAATTTTAGGACTAGGCCGTTTCCCATCCTTTTGTGAGCGAGGTGGCCTTACATTAGTAACAAAACTGCATTGGAAGTGTAGCCTTTAGAACAGAACTGTATTAATTACACTGCAAATAAGAGAGGGGGGAAATGTGCTAGCAGAGCAGATTGCTGCAAAGGTTTTTCAAACGGTTCGGATCAAAGGAATCCTTTGTATACTAATTTCTCTGATGTTGAATCCTGGTGGATTGCAAAAGATTCTGGGATACCTTCTATCTCGGGCGTTAATGTGAGGGGAATCTAGCTTTTAAGCTTTATGAAGTATGTTGAGCCTCTCTTTCACAGGCATTGGCAAACTTGGGCCCTCCAAGTGTTTTGGACTTCAACTCCCACAATTCCTAACAGCCTCAGGCCCTTTCCTTTTGTCCCTCAGCCGCTGAGGCTGTTAGGAATTGTGGGAGTTGAGGTCCAAAACACTTGGAGGGCCCAAATTTCCCTATGCCCGATATGTATCATAGACACAAACCCACATACCACGTTGTTTTAAGCTACACATTACAGAGAAACACTGGCTGTGGAGGGAAATAATGGCTATCTTTCAGCTAAATTCGTTTGTCAATACACCATTCTCCACATAGAGGACCTTTCCCTGATTAGTATCCAAAGGACTCGGTCATTCTTTGGAATGAACAGTGCTTGAAAACCATTGGCATACATGAGGGATAGGCCATTAAAAGTGTGAAAGAGGGGCTCAAATGCTTTCTTGGTTGTGTGGATATTGTCTTTGACACACCAGCCTCCCATTCTGCTGTCGCTGTTTGTTAAAATATAATGGAAAGGCCTATCTGACATCTCTGGTGGTGTATGGATAAAAAGAAGAGAGCATTGAATAAACAATTAATGATTAATAAACTCAGTGAACTCCCTCAGCACTGTCAAGTGCTCCAGATGCCATGGCATAAAACAAAAATATTTAGGTGGTTAGTTAGGATGAGCTTCTTATTCCATACCCCATTGATCTTTAGGGTGGCTTTATATATTGTCAGATATGGTGATATCTAAAATAGCTCATGAAGGTTTTGCATATCCTCATCTATCATTAAAACACATTAATATACAAGCGATGCACGGAACTGTTGAGGACTGAGCGGGTTGCTGGATACAAAAAGGGAGGCAAATATGGAACATAGGAAACATTTTGACTATCTATTATACAGTTTACATACTGTTTTCCTGCATAATTCATTCACATCATCTCCTGAAGTGCCAATAGAATAGGAGCGATACCAGTCTTTTCAAATGTGTCTATTGGATGTCGGGAAAATACCAAATTCCTCTCTAACAATGAAGCACATTTTTCCAATACAGTAGAGTCTCGCTTATCCAACCTTCACTCATCCAACGTTCTATATTATCCAACACAGTCTGCCTCCTGCCCAGATCCACAGCTGTTTCAATACATTGAGATGTTTTGGTGCTACATTTGTAAATACAGTAATTACTACATAATGTTACCATGTATTGAACTGCTTTTTTGTAAAACGTAATGTTTTGGTGTTTAATTTGTAAAATCGTAACGTAATTTGAAGTTTAATAGGCTTTTCCTTGATTCCTCCTTATTATCCAACATTTTCGCTTATCCAATGTCCTGCTGGCCTGTTTATGTTGGATAAGCAAGGCTCTACTACACCAAATGTAACAAATTAGTGAGTAATTTACTGAACTTCAACACTCAGGTATGTTGGTGGAGTGGATTGCAATATTTACAATATAGATCTATGCCCAATAAACCGTATAGATCCAACATGTACACAATGGAGTGTTTCTAAGCTGTAAGAAAACGCAGAATCTGAGGATTTTGTAAGACATGCAAATATAAATTGTATTATTTTGCTTCTTATTTCCAGAGTCACTAAGGAAACAAGGTCTTTCATTTCACTTAACAAGAAAAAGAAAAAAACAGCGTTGGATGGGTATAGTGTGTTAAGTCTTACTATTCATCCCAACTGTCCTTGAATTTTGCCTCCAGTTTCTTTACACTTGTTTTCATGCATTTTTTTTCCTTGTTATGATGGACACAACAATTCTAGCTTTGATGTAGAGAATTATAGCATTTAGGCTGCAATTCTATAGACATACACTTATCTATAGAACTCAATGGATTATTTTTGTATGAATATATTCAGGACTATGCCATTAATCTACCTGTCTTCTTTAGTATTAAAATAAAAACACCCGCAATTGTGCATCATATAAGTAGCTACTTATATGAGGACAAGGAAGAAAGCATTATTCCCAAACTCTTTAACACATAAGCTATGAATAAGCTATTTTTCCATAATAATAGCTTGTCTACAAAAACAATTAGGATGAGTCGGAGGACACTTCCTTTTCTTTTAGAGATGAATTCTTAGAGAGTTTTTTGTTGGGTGCATTTTTATCCAACTGCACTTTAGTGGACACCCAACCTCTATGACTACAATTCTGACAGAAGAAGGTGGATTTCCAAAAAGGATAGACTCTTCTTCCAAACTTGTTTGTTCATGTTAGGAGTGACTTGAAAAACTGTAAGTCACTTCTAGTGTGAGAGAATTGGCCGTCTGCAAGGACGTTGCCCAGGAGATGCCCTGATGTTTTACCATCCTTGTGGGAGGCTTCTCTCATGTGCCCGCATTGGGAGGTGGAGCTGACAGAGGGAGCTCATCTGCGCTCTCTCAGATTTGAACCTCTGACCTGTCGGTCTTCAATCCTGCTAGCACAAGGGTTTAACCCGCTGCACCACCGGGGGTTCCAAACTGACAAAACTGTGAGTTCGTAAGGTTTTTCCAGCTATATTCCTGTGGGCGCATAATCTCTGTATGTTTACCAATTTGCAAGATTCGATTTTTCTCTTCAGAAACGACAACTGTTTAAGCAAAATAAACCACTCCCCAATTACAGAAAAATATACATAAACATTAATATATAGACATGACTGGATATTTAAGCTGCAGCTCTTGCATAAGGAGAAAGAATTGCACTTTTGTATTTACTGAAGTAACAGAGTGCATTACATGAAAACTGGCCGGCTAGCATCAATGTGACTTTACAATTTCTGTGTTTATTGCTCATGTTTGCATTAATACCCAGACCAGCTCATGTTCATTTTGTGAGCTGTGCTAATCTCACAAAATGTTTTATGGAAGGTCACAATAATTTCAAAACACCACCTGGGAGTTCAAGATGTTCTTCAGTTTGCAGGCAAACAGAGTGACAGAAGATGGAAAATGTATGAGGTTTGAGACTCAAACAACAGCAGAACTTCCCCCCCAGCTTTGTCAATTTTAGCAAATCTCGAAAAGCAGTTCCAGTTCCACACAAAATTGTCATCAAGCCCCGAAACATAAATAACAAATGAGCCATTTGCTACAAAACCACTCACATTCCCCTGTCTCTCTTACACATTTTATTACGAAATGTCTCTTGTAAATATGGATATATTTCGTAATATAAGCACCAGGACATTAGCTGTCTTGATCGCTAATCTCTATCAAATGTTCCTTGCCTGTCTCAGCTGAGATATTACAGCTTCATTTCAATAATGCTGCAGTATAAACATTGCAGGTTTTTGGTGTCACACATCTTGCTCTCAAATAACTGTGTCCGCATTCTGTTCTGTTTGCTAGTCAGAGTATTATCTATCCCCCATTATGCTACAAAACATCGGTAAGGCCGGAATAATGCAGATAATGTATCCACACGAATGCTGCAGATTTTGCAGTCTCAAATAGTTCTCTGATCATATTTTTTCGGTTTTGGCTGCTTATGCAGGCTGCGCAAGAATTTATCATGCATCAGGGAAAAGAACGCAGAAGAACGATGCAATAGAATAACACAATGACACAATACAGCAATGATAGCAAACCAACCAACCTTTTTCCGCCCCCCCTGACTGCTGCTTCTGGAGACCGCGTCCACCACTCCCTCCACCGAGGTTTCTGGAATCCGATATGAGCCGGGCTGGAGTTTCTTAAAAATGAAACCCTCTTTGCTGGGAGTTTATGAGGAAGTTTGGCGAGTTTTACAAGCCCTTGGGTAAATGGCAGACGGTCACCCCGTTGAGTTAGATTGGATCCGTGGATGGGGAAGGGGTAATAGAGCTACCAATGCTCTGTTGAAGCATTAATGAGCTATGGGAGTTTGGATAGTCAGGTTTCTCACCCAGTCCTGGAGCCCTGAGCCACGGGTGGCAAAAGAGCTTTCCAGAACTCTGGGGCTTTGATCTGAGGTTGCCGCATTCCCAAATGGCACCGGCCTGAACTGACAGTGATGAAGAGTGTGTCAAGGAGAGGGGGCAAAGACTCTGACAAGACAAATGCCCAAACACATCCGGACAGGTGGGCAAGTGGAGCAAGTGGGAGAAACACAGAGACGGGGGCGGATGTCTACACAAGTGGAACCATGCACATGCCACAAAACAAACACCAATTGGACACACCACAGTTACAGAAATATTCAAGGAAAAGCGGTATCCTTGAAATGCATACAGAAAAAGCAGATCATAGTGTATTTGTCTTTTGAGAAGGATTTTCAAAGACCTTTATGGAAGAACATGAAGACATGAGAAGTTTGACTATTATAAATGGGGAGTTGTATGTTCACCAGACTATTTTTGTTGACTCAGTGACAAGCACAGCAGTGTTTGTGGTCAAAGGGAGATGTGCTGGAGACTGGATAGATGAGCTGAATTGGAATGAGACATTTAAAGAGAGCCTCATTTTTCTGGTGTGTCCACTTGCAAGAGCATCTCCATAGATCTTCTCTGGTCTTGGGACGCCGTTATGAAAAGATGCATTAATGTAAAATAAAATTGCTTTTGTCCACAGTATAGATACAGTTGAAAGAGCCATCCCAATTTATTTAATTGGCACCTGGAATTATGGTGGGAGTGAGTCTCAGGCAGGTTTAACTTGTAGGTGGTTAATGGAACACTAACAGAAATTTCACCAGGAACCTGTAAGACATCCATTTTTCTCTGTGCTATCCTGGGAACCTCAGGAATTGATGTAAAAAGTAAATGTATTACACTGATAGATTTAGCCACAAATACACTAAAGGAAAAACTAATATTTTCAGGAATTATTTTACTTCAAAAATTAACATATTTTACCAGATAGGTACAATCTGCTTGCGAGGCAAGATTGGCCCAACCACCAGACCAAATAGAGTTGCTCCCAGAAGGAATATATTTTGAATGTACTGAAAGAATAGCAAATTGTTATTTACTTTGTTATTTTACTTATACTTTCAGGGATAAACATATATATGGTGTTTTTTGTCCCATGCAGCAAAATAACACAGTTGAGCATAGCTAATTGGCACATTGACTTATAAGAGAAGATGCCATTTATTGGTCTTCCTCGGGCAGCAAAATAGTTTGAGCATGCCCTATATCAGGGACTTGGATATGTATTGCTTTTATTGCTTTTCTGGGACAGCTGATACAATAGGCCAGGTCACAGGTACTGACAAGAAGTAACCTTGTCTATATCCAGCTTTTCAGGTCTGTTTTTCTGTTATAAGAAAATCTAAGCAAAATGTGTTTTTGTTTAAGAACAACACACAAAGTTGTTTGTTACCAGAAGTACGGTAAGCTTTTATCCTGACCTATGAGTAAATTTATATTGTGAAACTCATTCATACAATCATAAACCCATAATGGAGTTAAGCGTTCAGGAAAATAAACCAGTTTTTAAAAGCCTGAGACATCCTCTGTTTTTTTAAGCAGGAAAACTCCAGTGGTAAGGAGAGTTTGCATGGCAACAAGAACCAGAAACTCTCCACATACCATTCAGAGTTTACATACAGTAGAAGACACAAAATATACACTGAATTCTACCAAAGGGAGATGGATAAACATTTCAGATCATAGCCTGAACTGGAGATAAGAACCAGACTAAAGGTTATCACTTAATTAAAGTAATTCCATTACTTTGACTCAGAAGTTAGAAAAACTACTTTTAAACCAGAAATCCATAGCTACCATAAATTCTAGGAGCGCTAGTCCTTAAAATTCAACTTTTCATAGCTGCCTAGTCCCTAACTGTTTCAACCTTTTGTTTAAAGCACATGCAGCAATCGACTCCCTTCCTCTATTACAAAAAATGCTGAAAAGGAAATGTACAACTTGTAAACCTTACTCTAAAGTAATGAAGAAGGAAAACCTGTCATGTCTAGTCTTTAAAACATAAACCTACCAATTCTGAACCTATGTGTACAAATATGCACATGTGCAATGCACGGCAATCTCTATTTTTTAGAATTCTGTAATCTGACTCACGCTGCAAAAAATCCATTGATGAAGACAAAGCATACACAAAGATGCATACACCAGGAATCTACAGAGAGATACATTCTATTCCATTATGGGGGGAAAAAATCTAAAAACTGCACATACTAGGGAAAGTGCATACAAAAATAAGCATATTAGGGGAAATGTGCAAAAATGCATAAAGTTTTCTTACAGACTCAATTTTATAAATAGTTTTCCCCCATTCACTGTTATTTTGGTATCCATCTCCTATCGTTGCCATTTCATAATCCCATCACTTCAGGTTTCCCTTACAGTTGGAGACAAGTAAAGTTGATAAGGCTTACTACATTATTCATATTTGCCCTCACAATGCTTAACTGAAACCAGGGCTAGTATACCATTAATTTTTTTATCCCATTGAAAAGATCTATTGTTATCAATTTAAACTGTATATATTATTATCACTATTGGGTTATATACATCTTTCCTCCACAGTATTACTTTCACTTTTGTTTTATGACATTTTAAATGTGTTGTTATATATTTATTGCTACATGCCTCAGTGCTACATTTAGTAGAATATGAATTATGTTAACAAACAAATCAATAAGAAAAACTGGAAATAAACACTGATGAGGCTGACTTTGCTTGTTAGTACATTTTGGCTAAGATTTGTTACTTTAGCAGAAAGTTTCCTACCAAAACAGAAACTTTCTTTCACCAACTATAACTGTTGTTTAAAATGGCTGTTAAACTAGTTTAACCCTGGACATTCCACAGATCTATAAACGTCACTTGCTTACTTTCCAACGAACCTCACAACCTCTGAGGATGCCTGCCATAGATGTGGGTGAAACATCAGGAGAGAATGCTTCTGGAACATAGCCATACAGCCCGGAAAACTCACAGCAACCCAGTGATTCCAGCCATGAAAGCCTTCGACAACACATAGTTTACTAAGATCATAAAACCTTTCCATCTGAAAATAAAAAACTATACTGATGACTGGAGTTTCTTTATTTTTTGAAAATATTCAAGTGCAACTGGGTTTTATACAATGACTACATTACAATGAAATGTCAGCAAAATTTGTTCAAGCAATTGATACTGCAATATATTTCATATAGAGGAAGGATCATATGGAACTAAAATGAAAAGCAGGGATTTAGAAATGCTGAATAGCAATAGAAAATTAAGGTTGTAAATCAGTGCACACTTGTAAATCCCATTAATATTTCACGTCATGGATTCTTTAGATACGATACTACAAATAAGACCATAACATAGACATAAATCCCATTATTAGTCCTAATTACAGTACATTAAATCAATGGTAACCTCACTTGGTAAGTTAGTGCTTGTGTTAGTCCCATTAATACAGTGGATCTACACCCATTGAACTTATTTGTGAGTAGACACATATAAGCAGTACCTGAGTTACAAACATCCAACTTCCAAACGACTCATAATTAAGAATGGGGATAAGACAAAAGGAAGTGAGAGAAATCTACCCTTCTGAAGGGAAATTCACTCCTGAAAGAGTTATTATGGGGAAAAGGTGTCTCCACTGAAGCTTTATCAGCAATCTTTGTTTCCACAACAAGCCATTTTTTTCAAAATCCAATTAACACAGGATCAGAAAGTACTGTGAAATCTTCTGAACAGAGGCACAGACAGCAAAACAAACACAACAGAGGTGTTAACCCTTCCCTATGCTAGCTAAAGCTGGTGTGTGTGTGTGTGTGTGTGTGACTTGAGAGAATTGGCCATCTGCAGGGACATTGCCCAGGGAACACCTGGATGTTTTGCCATCCTATGGGAGGCTTCTGTCATGACCCCACATGAGAAACTGGAGCTGACAGATGGGAGCTCAATCTGCTCCCCGGATTTGAACTGCTGACCTTTTGGTCAGCAGTCCTACAGGTACAAGGGTTTAACAACCCATTGTGCCACTAGGTGCTCCCAATGGTGCGATGGGTTAAACTCTTGTGCCAGCAGGACTACTGACCAATAGGTCAGTGGTTCGAATCCCGGGAGAGCAGGTTGAGCTCCCTCCGTCAGCTCCAGCTCTCCATGCGGGGACATGAGAGAAGCCTCCCACAAGGATGGTAAATATTCGGGTGTCCCCTGGGCAATGTCCTTGCAGACGGCCAATTCTCTCACACCAGAAGCGACTAGCAGTTTCTCAAGTTGCTTCTGACACACACACACACAAACTGGGGGCTCCTATGTTTGGCTAGAGTTACACTTTAAAAATGTCCTTGTTCCAACTTACAAACAAGTTATGCTTAAGAACAAACCTACAGAACCAATCTTGTTCGTAACTTGGGGACTGTATATGTTCCACAGCAAAAGTACCATAACACGACTGACAACTGCAACTTTTTTCCTGAATCAACACATATAGCTTGATAGGGCTTCAATGTACAATACATGTACTTGTTTTCAAAATTGGTAACATAACTTTAAATGTAAGCACTTCCAAGGGAGCATATAAGAGATAACATAATAAAACTAGATGAACAACAATGAAAAAAAAAATCTAAGCCATTAATATTAGTCTAAAATCCAAGAGTGGAAGCAACCCAATCATTTTTGCAAATGTATAAACAAGGTACAAATTTTAAAATGCCAGAGTACTAATATTTCATATTTCAATTTAATGGATTCAGTAGCCATGGTATGAACATGATCATAACATAGATCTAAATCTAAGTCTTACAAATAGGGTATATTCACTGAATCAATGGGATTTATATAAAAGTTGATTTACCAAGTTGCTAATAGTTCAACAGAGAAAAGCAACTTTCATGTAAATCCGACTGATCTGGTAGATCTACTCCCCTTAGATTAACCATGGGATTCAGCATATAGCTTCCAAACATTTTGAAGCTTATGGCATTTCGCATCACAATCAAAGATCAATTTCTAAACTGCACCACAAATCCAAATATTGAATCTGGATGTATGAGTTGTGGTTGCTTTGTTTCCAACCAACCTTTGTTGCCTTCCCCTAAAGGCAGACATGAGAGAATAAAATTTATTTTCCTTCTGTAAAAGAATGTCACTCACTCCTTGTGTTCTGCTATCCGCATTGGTGTTACAAAAATAAGAGCAGGCCAAGCTGGGTTTGCTCCTCATCAGTTGGCGATACTTATTTATTTATTGAAGGGGCTTTTTTTTTGCAGTTCCAGCCTGAAATGCTCCCAAATTGCCCCCCTCCTCTTCGACCAGCCCCACTACATGGGTTCCTTTTCCCCCAGCTGTCCAAAAAGTCTTGAAAGTGAAGTGACTGGTTTGAGTTAATCTCCCCTGTTGTTTTTATGAGGCTCTCCCGCCTCTCCTCCCCCGGGGGCCCGTTAAGGATCAAAGGTTAATTAATGCAGAGCAGACCGTGACCATAGTTATTCTGACCCCACAGGGCCAGGTGGTCCCAGAGCCCCGATATACAAGATGCGATGAAAGGGTGACACAGCCCTGGAATCTGCAAGATTATGAAGCATGGCGGGTGGGAAGGCAAAGTGGAGAATGGAGCAAGAGAGAGGGGGAAACCCTTTGGGGAATTGACCCCTCTGGGTCAGCTGGGGGGGGGGGCAAATGTGGGGATGAGAGAAAAGCGAAAGCCAGACTCCCATCTGAAACAACCCATAGACCTTGGGCGTAACAAGTCACAACACACAGTTATCTAGCTGGGCTACTTTTGTAATGAGGCTGGATCTACACTGACCATTTAATGTAGTTAGAAGCTAGCTTTAAACTGCTGCAGCCAGACAACAAACTCCCACAAAAGCACACAGACCAAATCCTTAATATGCATCAGTGCTCCGTGATTTGTGTATTCACCATCCTTGTCTCAAACTGGTTCCAGGATTTCCACTTTCTTCAGTACTGGATTGAAACTGCATTAAATGGACAGTGCAAATGACTGAGGGTGCATTTTCAGCTCAAAAGTGATTACAACACTGATATATGGGATAACTGTCTCTTGCTAGTTTTCTAGGCATTTTCATGGGACTTCAATTTTTTTTTGTATTCCTTATTTTAAAAATGGCACCTTCTTCCCTTTAAAAAAGTAACAGAAATTTAAAAGAAATAGTGAGTGCTTGCAATATAAGCACTAGTGTGAATAATACCAGCATCAGGCTACTGTTTAAGTGAGTATAGTATATATCCCTTATCCAGAATTTCAGAATCTGAAATATACACAGAATGGGACTGGATTAGATGGCCCTTATGGTGTCTTCCAATTCTATGATTCTGTGACTGTGATTCCAAAATCGGGGGGGGGGGGGGGGGGGGGGGATAAAAACATTTCTGATCCCAAGCATTTCATGTTAAGAGATGCTCAACCTGTAATTAATTACTTTAAAAAAAGCAAATTTCTATGTTCTGGAGGGAATTGAGGTGTTTGAACGACAATCCCCAGAATCCCCTGCCTGGATTTGGGAAGTTGAAGTCCAAATGCAGAATTGTTCCTGAGTTCTGTAATCATGTCAGAATCAGATCATTACAATCAGCACCTTCTTTATAAATATTGCCTATTTGAGAACAGCATGCAGGGGGGTGTCTTCCAAAAACTCAGCTATCTATTATTACAGTTGAGTGAATTCATGTTAGCAAAACTTGGATTGGAAAGGGGGAAAGCAAATTTACCGTAACTGATAAATGTCCCAGGTTACTGATCCATCACAGCCTAAAATTCTTCTGGTCCCCGTGGAGATTATTCCAGTTTCACCACTCCTACAGAGTTCTGCTTTAAAACTTAAATTATTTCTTCCAGAACACTCACAAGGTCTTTGCCTGCTGAGCTTTCTGTCTTGCTTCTAAAAGAAACAGAACCAAATAATAATTCCATTTATTGTTCAATTTTAGATTTCATGAAACGACACTCCCTCAGAGTTCTGCTTTTAAAATAAATGTATTTATTCCCACACCCTCACAAGGTCTTTGCCTGCTGAGCTTTCTGGCTTGCTTCTAAAAGAAACAGATCCAAACAATAATTCCATTTATTGTTCAGTTTTAGATTTACTGAAAAGACACAACTGGGCAAGTATTTCCTTGGAAAGAGAGTGGCATTGCTGTAGACCTTGACATCTCCATTCTTCAGAAGGTCTGCTTATAAACAAACTTGGTTTTTATATTCTCATGTTTTCATTCTGAAGCATCTGGTCAACAATTCCCTTCAAGGCTTAGTTCAGAGTTATTACCTATGAAACCCTATGTACCTAAATATTTCATAGAGCATTTTTTGTATAAATCCTCTTTCTTCATTTATCTTTTGATGACGCTTTAGAGCTCACCTAAATCGAATTCTCTCTAGAAACTAAGATGACTAAATTGAGACTGTTGAACTTTGGCCACTTCATGGGAAGACATTACTCAGTAGTAAAGAAAATAATGCTTGGAAAGATGGAGGGCAGTATGAAAGGAGGAATACTATATTCCAGGCAGATAGATTCAGTCCTGAGTCTATAAGACCTGAGCTTTTGAGGATAGGCTGACTTGCAAGTCTCTTGTTTATAAGGTAACCATAAATCAAAGTTGAATTGAAAGTATCTGACAACAACAATGGTTAAATAGGTCTGTTATCCAACAAAAAAACCAATAAACCAACAATAAATGCTGTTTTATTTCATTCCAATACCTTTGGTAGTTTATACAGTAGAATAATAATAATAATAATAATAATAATAATAATAATAATTTCTTTTTATATTCCGCTCTATCTCCCCAATGGGACACAGGGCAGATTCCAAGCATAAAAGGGAAACATTCAATGCCCAAGCATAACAACAATACATCCATACTAATAAAATTTAAACAACCCAACATATACACTTGAATTATAACTTAACAACTAAAATTAAATAAAAAACACAGTCTGTTATAATAGACATAAGACAAAACATGAAACATTGAATGGAAACAATAATTTCGCTTATCCAAAATAAACGGGCCAGCAGAATGTTGGTTAAGCAAAAATGTTGGATAATAAGGAGGGATTAAGGAAAAGCCTATTAAATGTCAAATTATGTTATGATTTTAACAAATTAAGCAGCAAAACATAATGTATTACAACAAATCGACAGAAAAAGCAGTTCAATACATGATAGCGTTATGTAGTAATTACTGTATTTACCAATTTAGCATCAAAATATTGCAATGTATTGAAACAGGTGTCGATCCGGACGGGAGGCAGACTCCATTGGATAATATAGAATGTTGGATGAGCAAGTTTGGATAAGCGAGATTCTACTGTAGTTTGTTTTTAATCTTCTGGGTTGTTTTTTCATTGTAAAAATGGCTTTGCTGTTGATTTTCTTTGACTGTTTTGATGAACTCTGGTATAAAAATGTTTTGGAACAAATTCACATTGAGAGCAGTAACGGTTGGAGAACAGAAACACTGAGTTGCATCAATTTGGACACAGAGGGGAGCAATGGATAGAAGAAAAATCTCATCATAAGACTAAGGGTTGAAGACACATAGCAATATTTATATCCTAGTTATGAAAAAGACAATTGAAGGTTTGCAGCATCCAACAATGGTTCCTGTGCAAATTCCTAATAGGTGTTTTTATAGGCAAAAATAATATCTCACAGAATAGTTTACCACTTGGTTATCTTTTATAATTCCTACCAGTCTTGCTAGGAGCCCCCGGTGGCGCAATGAGTTGTTAAACCCTTACACCGGCAGGCCTACTGACCAAAAGGTCGGGGAGCAAGGTGAGCTTCTATCTATCAGCTCCAGCTTCCCATGCGGGGACATGAGAGAAGCCTCCCACAAGATGGTAAAATATCTGGGCGTACCCTAGACAACATCCTTGCAAACAAACAATTCTCTCACACCAGAAGTGACTTGCAGTTTCTCAAGTCACTCCTGACACGAGGGGGAAAAAAACCCAGTCTTGCTCCATCTTTTTCTGTATCTCTCTCATTTGTTAAAATGTTTTCATTACAGAAGACTTGTATACATCAATATTCAGAAAATACATTATTTCCAGTGGATGACCTGAGAAATATTTGCGCGTAGTTGGATGCTAAGCTCTACATTGTCAGTCTTTGACCATTGTGAATGAAGGAGCAAATCTGCCTTAATATATATATCTGCTGCCAATCTCACCTTTTCCAAAGAATCCTTATAGCCAATTGAGAACATTGGAAAACCTTCTAGTGATTCCAATTGATTGTAAGCGTGCAGGCTTTGTGATGTCATAGGTATGACATCACTTCTAGGCAGCCGAAGACCTCCCGCTGACAATCGCAACAGAAGGTGATGCCTTGGCAGGTATTTTGGCTAATAGTCCATATCATCACAGGATCCCAAGGCTGCCTGAAGTGCAGCAATGATGCCATGGCCATTAAGCAGGATTTTAGAAATCGCTTCCTGGCGAAGAAACTCCGTAAAGAGCCTGACCTAAAAAAAAAATTACAGCATCTTCTGGACAATGTCGTCGACGGCCTGTCACATACTCAGATACATCCCAAAAAATACATGGCTATGATTGGTAGGTCTGCACCTTTTCCTAGAAGATTTTTGGATAGATTTTAATTGGTCTTGGAGTTTTAAGACCACACTTACCTTCCATCTAGACAACAATGCATTTTAAAGCTTTGATGGTGTTATTATACAACATATCTTCATGATGTGTATATACTAATATTAAATTGCATTCATTCTGTTGTGCTTTTGATTTACATTACAGGGGTCCAGTTTATAAATAAAAGTCAAGTACATATTTTTGATGCACCAGAAGCAGAAAACCCCCTATTTGGCAGTGACTACAAAATATAAAAATTAAGGCTTCAATTCTATTGATTTGATGACAGTTAACAAAAAATGTAATTGAAAGTATGCCGTGAGTCACATGGCATGAAGTGATACAGGTTGGAAGAAAGTTTAATAATGAAATAAGTAAATTAATAAACCATTTAACTGGTTTATTAACTTATTTTGAGGCTTTGATTTATACAAACTATAGTAAAATAATAAAATAAGTACCTGTCTGCTCGTGAAGTTCCTATTGATTGAGTTGCTGTGAGTTTTTCTGTGTTCATGGCCAAACAGCCCGAAAAACTCACAGCAACCCAGTGATTCTGGCCATCAACAATCCTATGAATTAAATTGACTTTGCAACTTTGATGTACAGAAACAAATTTTCCAAGTTCAAAGGAACAGAAACATCTTGTCTGACAATCAATGGGGGTTGTCATGTACCTTAGGCTTTGGAAGAAAGTTTTTTTGCTGCCTGCCCCAATTTAGCACTTTTTATATGTGTTGGACTATAGAGCTCTTATCATCTCAAACTTCTTGGCTGTTCAAATATGCTGGCTGGGGATGATGGGAGCTTTTGGCATAATATACCCAGAGGTACTACTAAACATGTTCACAATGAAAATACAGTTCACAATTAACAGGATGTGGATGTGGATGTGAATTAGACTTGATATAAAGGAATTATAATAAATAGCTGTTGTTTTTTTAAAAAAAGTTTGCAAGAAGGGAGCTTCTTTCTCCTTTCTAACATTATACCCTCCTCCATTTGATCAGATGAACTCACACTTGGAAAAATTGCTGCTCACTTCAAACGTTTCGTCAACCGCATAACGGAAAATGACTTTAAAGGTAAGAAATATGTTAAAATGAATGACGCCAAATGGCCATGCAGAATACTGGAGATAATGGTTTTTCTTGAATTGTTGATGAAAAATTGTTGAATTCATAGCCAGGACAGTTATCAAGCAAAGGGTGAGCTATGTTTAGCTTTCCAAGGCATATCCCTACAGGGTATGTCAGACTTTGCCCATCCAGTTAAGTCAATCATAGAATTAGGTAGATGGCGGGTACCCTTTCTCTTGCAAGCAAGTGGACAGTGCCATCTGGTGGTACTTGTGAAATAGTATACCACTATGTCTCTGTGCCTCCAAATAGTCACTTGTCCACTTATGACAGTCCCATGAATTTCACAGGGTTTTCTCAGGAAATAAATACTCAAGCTTCCTCTTCTGAAACATTGCCAGCAGTACTTGGTATTCCTTGTCAGTCATCCATGCAAGCAATAATGAGCACTGACCCTGCTTAGCTTGCAAGATCAGACAGAATCTGTTGCTTTTAGAATATGTAAGCTAAATATTCCTATCGAAATACAGGCTTATCCAACCTTCATTCATGCAACATTCTGTATTATCCAATGCATTTTGCTCCCGCCCGGATCCATACCTGTTCAATACATTGCAATGTTTTAGTGGTAAATTTGTAAATACAGTAATTACTACATAATGTTACCATGTATTCAACTGCTTTTTCTGTTGATTTGTTGTAAAACATGATGTTTCGGTGCTTAATTTGTAAAATCATAACGTAATTTGACATTTAATAGGCTTTTCCTTAATCCCTTCTTATTATCCAACATTTTTGCTTATCCAGCGTTCTGCCGGCCCACTTATGTTGGATAAGCGAGACTCTACTGTAGATGGAAATCTATTTGGGAGGCATTTCACTTTTGCATGTGCTTGCTCATAATAAGGTCCATGTTTTTAAAAACATGTACATTTTTAAAGTCTGTTAAAAATCTATATAAAAATGGTACCTTATTTAAACTACTAACAACATAAAGATATTATGATTCAAAATATTGAGACAAGAATTTTGTCCAATCAGTGTTCTACCCGCTACTTTATGTAACTTTCTATTTCAATGAAGAAATCTCCACGTTTTGCTCAAAATTTGATTTGTTTCTAAATAGTGCTAATGAACGTGCTGCTCATAGATGCAGGGATTAAAAAAACATATTCCTAATTTAAAAAATAGGAAAGAAAGTGGCCAAAGGAAGGGTCTTATGCCATCTCTCTTTCCTTCCTTGCCTTTTATGCTGGAACAAATTAATACCCTCCAAGTATCTAATCTGGCAGGTAAAACTCTCCTTTCAGCAGTGAGGAAAGGAGAGAAGGGGATGAAACCATGCCCTTCCTAAAAGGGAAAAGCAATTTGCTCTAGCCTCTCCCACTTTCTGTGTTCTCCCTCACTAGTAATTTTGCTGTCTCGAACACAGTTTATGCTTGGCCACATGGATCCTTGTTTTAATCTGTGAAATATTGAAGGGTATGACTATCCCTTGTATTTTCTCCCCTGCCTTGTATGAATTTCTAACCATGAGTGCTCTGTTATGATCTTTTACTAGGATCCACGATTGGGTGCACAAATCTGGACCATGGCAAGCATTTTCCCCTACCGGATTCATCTTCCTGGTAGCCACTTGGGCTTCATCACACTAGAGAAAAAATCCACGTAAAATCCAGTTTCTGCCTACTGCAGAATTCTGGGGTTTGTAGTTTAGGGAGGAGCCTTTAACAGCCTCACTAAACTACAAACCCCAGAATTCTACAGGAGGCAGAAACCGGATTTTAAGTGGATTTTTTCTCTAGTGTGATGGGTGTTCACATATCCCAGCAAGCTTTATGCTAGGGCTTGGGATCCTTGCTTAATAGGATGGGCTTAGACTCAAGTGCTGTCCCCCCTATTGGTGGGGGGGCATCCCTTTACCACCTCAGTCCCCCTTCCATCAAAACATACCCAATTCAGCAGCCCCCAGTATCAAGACCTAGGTGTCTAGATTTCAGCCTTCCCTATCTCAATTTAAGAAAGGCTTCAAGAATATTGTCTACCTTGAAACAGACTCCACGTTTCCACAATTATCTGAAAGGCAACTGGAAATGATGTGTTCTCCCCAAATGGCAGCAATGTGGAACTGGCAATGGGTCTGTGCAGCCATCTGGAACCTGAAGTATGCCCACTTCTGCTTTAAGACATCCCATTTTGCAGGAATAGGAGGAGCCTGGAGGAGGGAGTGGAGAAGTGTGGGGTTAGAACAGGTATGGGCAAACTAGCTGTTAGGAATTGTGGGAATTGAAGTCCAAAACACCTGGAGGGCCGAAGTTTGCCCATGCCTGGGTTAGAAGGCCAAAAGGCCTCTGGAATTTCCAGACATTAGGGTTCGAGTGAGGCACTCTTTTGGAGCTTATTCTTGGTGCCATGGACCTGTTTTTGGCCTTCCTCCTGAGCCTGAACATTGCAGCTGACCCTCCAAGCAGCAATTTCAGGGGGTAGGAGGAGTATTCAGGACAGTTTCCACCAATCTAGTTGCATGCACCTTAATGTGGATTCAACTAGTTGAACTGAAAACTGTGTAGGGAGGAATTTGGCCCTTTAGGGAGTGAGAATAGTGGATAGTGACATTCTGCCCTGTACATTTGTTTGGAATTTGAGAATAAGGTCATTTTGTACTGGAATTCACAAGGATCAAATTCACAGGTGTTTTAATGCGATGTATTTGAAGATACTCTTTTAGAATAGCAGAAGAAAATTTAAATCTTGCGCTTCATCTTCGATGTCCCTCGGCCCTGACTCTCGCTTGCCCTTTGCAGATGAGCAGCTTTTTAATGAGGTGACGTGGGGCCTTCAGAAACTGGTAACTGCTTTTGAGCAGATAATGCCACAATTTACAAAATGTAAGTTGCATTTAATTATTTTTTAAAAGAAAAGTTTCCAGGTTTTAAGGAAACCCTTCCTAATCCTGTTAAATGTGAAAAGATAGACCATGGAGAAGAAAAGGTGTTTGTGATATGCGCAGAGAAGACACTCATTGTCATTCTTATTGCATGTATTCTGAAAACCTTTACTTTGAACCAGAGATGTGATGACTCAGTTTTAATGCTGAGAGTTAATAGCTTTAATTTCAACAAGCCTATGCTTTAGAACAGGGGTCCTCAAACCTTTTAAACCGGGGGCCAGTTTACTGTCCCTCAGACCGATGGAGGGCCGGATTATAGTTTTAAAAAAAATCAATTAAAAATTCCTATGCACATTGCACATATCTTATTTTGCTGTGTGGAAGGGCCCTTAGAGGGGGTTCTTTCTAGCCCTCTTTAGGCAGTAATTCCAGGAGCAGAGAATGGGAAATCTTCCTATTTCTAGTCTGAACAAAATCTGGCTACCAGTATTTAAAAAACTCTAAAATTATAACTGTAAATAAAGAACAACACTCAAACACAGGGGAACTCCAGACAAGAAACAATCAGGGCCAGCTAATCACCTCTCAACAAAGGATTCTCCCTAAAAACTGTCAGGCTATGAAATGGCAATCAAGGTGGCCAATTGAAACATTCATACCTACCTCCAACAGACAAGAGTTCTTTCTCCCACCCTGGATCTTCCACAATTTTCCTGGTTAAAGGTTTTCCTCTGACATGAAGTCCAGTCGTGTCTGACTCTGTGGTGCTCATCCACATTTCTAAGTCGAAGAGCCGGCGTTGTCCATAGACACCTCCAAGGTCATGTGTGATGCTCATCTGCATTTCTAAGTCGAAGGTCATGTGGCCGGCATGACTGCATGGAGCGCCGGGGCAGCCTCCCTTGGCTGGCTCACGCTGTCCATCGGGCCTGACGGATAGCGTGAGCCTGCCAAGGGAGGAGCAGCCCCGTGCGGCCTACTTGCGTGTAAAGCACCTCGCGAGGTGCTTTACACGCGAGTAGGCCATGCGGAGCAGCCGCCCTTGGCTGGCTCACACTGTCCATCGGGGCTGACGGATAGCATGAGCCAGCCAACGGAGGGGCACTGTGTGAGGGGGACGCTCCTCCGTGGGCCGGATAAGGGCCCTTGGCGGGCCGGAAGTGGCCCGCGGGCCATAGTTTGGGGACCCCTGCTTTAGAACATGTGTGTCAAACTCAATGCCTGCGAACCAAATGCATCTCACCATGTCATTTTATATGGCCCTCCAGATGCTGGACTACAATTACTGTATTCCTCATCATTGGATATCATGACTAGAGCTGATGGTATTTGTGATGCAGTAACATCTGGAAAGCTGAAGTTTCTTTGGTTTAATCAGGATAGTGTGGATTGAATTTAGATACCAGGCTTGTGGATATGATGTCTGACTTTAAAATGTCCTTTAACCTTTTCCTCAACCTCAGAGCCAGAAGTGATGTTGAGTTGCAATTCCCATTATCCCTAGTCTGCCTGGCAGATAATCAAAAGTGATGTGAGTTGTTGCTCAATAATATTTGGTGACCCAAACGGGGTAAAAACTAAAAAGCATTGACCACTACGTAAGAAAATTATAGTTGGCCTGCTGTATCCATGGATTCGCTGTCCATGGGTTCAACTTTGAAAGCGACCATAAGGCTGATTTGGCCCTTGGCGAAAATGAATATGACACCCTTGCCTTAGAATGTCTCATACTGATCTGTTGAGGTGGCTAGACCCCCTGTATCACAGTGCCTATAAGACTGAAGAGATAGGACTTAGTGGTATTATCAGGTAAAACCTCATGGTATTATAGGGTGTTTGTTCTTGAAACTCATAAAACTGAGTTCAGCCTGGAAGCATGACTAGGAAATTGGAGACAAAGAGGCCCCAGGAAAATGGAGAAAGATAGTCTCGGGAGGGGGTGTGTGCAAGTGTTTTGTGTTGCATTGGTGGGGAATTTTTAAATCAATTTGTCAACTGAGGAAGACGCTTTCTTGGACTAAAAATTCCCACTCTGAATATAATACTATTATAAGTGGTCAGAAGAAGTTCTAAATTATATAACAATAGAATTTGACAAAAGATATCCAGCCCCCCTGGTGGTACAGCGGGTTAAACCACTGAGCTGCTATTTATTTGTCGTGTCAGAACAACCAGTCAAATTATATTACATTTCTAACAGAAACAAAGCAAACAAGCAGATTACAAAATTTGTGAGTATGAGAGTTGATTAAATGTCCTTTGACCAGTATCTGGCCACTTGGAGTGCCTCTGGTGTTGCTGCAAGAAGGTCCTCCCTTGTGCATGTGGCAGGGCTCAGGTGCATTGCAGCAGGTGGTCAGTGGTTTGCTCCTCTCCACACTCGCATGTCAAGGATTCCACTTTGTAGCCCCATTTCTGAAGGTTGGCTCTGCATCTCGTGGTGCCAGAGCGCAGTCTGTTCAGTGCCTTCCAGGTCGCCCAGTCCTCTGTGTGCCCAGGGGGGAGTCTCTCATTGGGTATCAGCCATTGGTTGAGGTTCTGGGTTTGGGCCTGCCACTTTTGGACTCTCGCTTGCTGAGGTGTTCCAGTGAGTGTCTCTGTAGATCTTAGAAAACTATTTCTAGATTTAAGTCGTTGACGTGCTGGCTGATACCCAAACAGGGGATGGGCTGGAGATGTCTCTGCCTTGGTCCTTTCACTATTGGCTGCTACTTCCCGGCGGATGACTGAGCTGATGAACTTGCTTGTTGGCAGTTTGGATCTGGGGAGCGAAGTGAGCTCCCTCTGTTAGGCCCAGCTTCTGCCAACCCAGCAGTTTGAAAGCATGCAGGTGTGAGTAGGTCAATAGGTTGCACTTCTGTGGAAAGGTAATTGTGCTCCATGCAGTCATGCCGGCCACATGACCTTGGAGGTGTCTATGGACAACGCTGGCTTTTCGGCTTAGAAATGGAGATGAGCACCAACCCTCAGAGTCTGACACAACTAGACTTAATGTCAGGGGAAAATCTTTACCTTCACCTTATCCAGACTCCTTTTGCAGAGTAACTAAAAGCTGGAGGAGGAATCTGAGATAGTTTAGGTGTTGGCCTATACTGTACCTTATATTGATACCTTCTGTTCTGTTGTGGGTATCGTGGCAGCACACTTACGTTCATCTGTTTTGGAGGAGCATGAGTTGAAGGGTTCCCATCTGCTTGTGGGATTCCCACAGGCATCCAGTTTGATCACTATGACCTTTTCAACACAGCTGTATAAAATCAACATTGAACTGGATTATATAGCAGTGTGGACTCAGATAACCCAGCTCAAAGCAGATATTGTGGATTATCTGCCTTGATATTCTGGGTTATATGTCAGTGTGGAAGGGCACCCTTGAGAACAGAATGCTGGACGAATGTCTTTAGTTTGATCCAGCTGAACTTTTCTTATATTTTTATGGTCTTATAACAATAAAATTGTGGTCTTATAACAAGAAATTAAGAGCTTATTTTGTACCACAATCCAATCTAGTGGCATATTCTATTCAGATATTTATTTAAAACTAACACCTCTGGTTAGGTTCAAAAAGACGGGGTGTAATAAGGATAAGTGCATATACCTAACTCCTTTTGAGGGATTTTGCTAATAATTGTACCTACCGTATATTCCGGCATATAAGACGACTAGGCGTATAAGACGACCCCCAACTTTTCCAGTTAAAATATAGAGTTAAGATGACTCCCATGCATAAGACTACACCCGCATATAAGACGACCCCTGACTTTTGAGAAGATTTTCTTGGGTTAAAAAGTAGTCTTATACGCCAGAATATACTGTAATTATTTCCATGTAACTTCCCAAAATTCTGCTCTCTTGAAGGCTTGATAACGAACCCCCAGGTTGAAATCACAAAGCCAATCCCAACAAAATTGCTCAATTTTTTAAAAACCCATATTGTTTATACAAAGGTTTGCGTTCTACAGTGCAGGCCTGTTTGTATGCTGTGATCATAATAGTCACATTTCTCCCTGTTGGCCACTAAATGGATGTTAAACGGATCAAACTGCTGGAAAAAAATGTAGAGGGCGGTTCAAATCTTTCTAATCAAGCAATCATAGCCTGATAATTGGTACTGAAGGTATGAAATCCCATGAATTCAAATGTCAAATGTTTCCTATTTCTTTTCACAGTGGTATGCAGCAATGAGTGTGGTGAGTATTAATTTGGCTGAAAAGAATGTCCTACCTGGTCAGGACTGGAGATTTTGTATGCCTGCTCTCTTCTACTTGGCACAATTTATTGAGTTTTGCCATATTCCGACCACAAAGATGAGGGAAAGAAAGCACCGTATATTCCGGCATATAAGACAACTGGGCCTATAAGACGACCCCCAACTTTTCCAGTTATAAATATAGAGTTTGGAATATATTCGCTGTATAAGACTACCCCTCTTCCAACGCACACCAAATAAAAATTTAAAAAGCATCAGATTTGATTTCAATATGGCAATTTTCCTATTACTGTACCTCCTTCTCTGCCTCTCAGATCTCGCACCTGCACACCTGCCCACCATTTCATTGCAGTCTTCAGGAGCGAGATCTGAAAGGCAGAGAAGAAGGTACAGTAATAATATACAAGGGCGGGCCAGACAGATAAAAGAGGTGTGTTTGTCTGGGCCCAGAGCCACTCTATCTCTTTTTTCCATACCCCGGGTGCCCCAGACGCCTGCAGTTTGCAACGCCTTCACTTACACCTTCCTGGTGAGGTGCCCCTTCACCTCACCATCGGGATCGCATTAAGTCCATGAATCCTGATGAATGGATTTTCTTCTACCGTACTTGTACAGCGTTGCCGTTAATGCTTTCATACAGTTGCTGCATACGGCAGGGACACGGCCATTGTCATTTTTGATCTTTCCCCACCATATGCGACAGCCACAGATTCTCCAATCTGATTGGAAGTTTCACCCACTCTATAAGACTACTCCTGCGTAAAAGACTACTCCTGCGTATAAGACTACTCCCGTGTATAAGACTACTCCCATGTATAAGACAACCCCTGACTTTTGAGAAGATTTTCTTGGGCTAAAAAGTAGTCTTATACACAAGAATATATGGTAGCATTTAGATGTATCCAGGAACACAAGCACAAACAGTAGAGATTAGTTGTGGGCCCAAAATGTATCCCATTCATGTTTTCGTTTTGTTCTGTCCATTCGAATGGCATGAAATGGAAAGGGCCCTCCTGAAATAAAAATCGACACGAAAGGCAGGTGGGGCTTGCTTTTCAGATGGATTGCATGAGGTCTGGCAGTGCCTTCAGCCGAGCACTGAGTAAGGAGCGCTCCTTACTCGACACTTGGTTGCAGGCGGCCTGGGTGTGTAGGCCGGAAAGCCTGCACTCGTAGGCCCAAAGCACCCAGGGCTACGGGTGCAGGCTTTGGGCCTAGGCACCCAGGTCTGGCAGTGTCTTCAGCTGAGCACCGAGTAAGGAGCGCTCCTTACTCAACGCTTGGCTGCAGGCGGCCTGGGTGCGTAGGCCGGGAAGCCTGCACCCGTAGGCCCAAAGCGCCCAGGCCTACAGATGCAGGCTTTGGACTTATGCCCCGCACCTGACAGGGCTTTCAGCCGAGCACTGAGTAAGGAGCGCTCCTTACTTGATGCTTGGCTGCAGGCAGCCTGGGTGCATAGGCCAGGAAGCCTGCACCCGTAGGCCCAAAGTGTCCGGGCCTACGGGTGGAGGTTTTGGGCCTGTGCACCCGGGCCTGACAGGGCCTTCAGCCAAGTACTGAGTAAGCAGCGTTCCTTACTTGATGCTTGGCTGCAGGCAGCCTGGGTGCATAGGCCAGGAAGCCTGCACCCGTAGGCCCAAAGTGTCCGGGCCTACGGGTGGAGGTTTTGGGCCTGTGCACCCGGGCCTGACAGGGCCTTCAGCCAAGTACTGAGTAAGCAGCGTTCCTTACTTGATGCTTGGCTGCAGGCAGCCTGGGTGCGTAGGCCGGGAAGCCTGCACCCATAGGCCCAAAGCGTCCGGGCCTTTTTCATTTTATTTATTTATTTATTTACCTTACTTATATACCGCTGTTCTCAGCCCGAAGGCGACTCACAGCGGTTCACAACAAATACGAACAGCAAAAATTCAGTGCTACAGTATAGAAACAGTTAACAACCTAACACATTACACAATTAATAAACAGTTACTACAATACCCATTCACTGTCATCTCGTCATCAAAAACATGTTCCAGATTCGTCATCCATTGTTCCATTCCAGTGTTCATTAACCAATCATTGCACTCATTATTCGAACGCATGCTCAAACAGCCAGGTCTTCACTTTTTTGCAGAATACCATTAGAGATGGTGCTAGTCTAATGTCCGTAGGAAGGGCGTTCCACAGCCGAGGAGCCACCACCGAGAAGGCCCTATCTCTCGTCCCCGCCAGCCGAGCTTGAGAAGCAGGCGGGATCGAGAGCAGGGTCTCCCCGGAAGATCTCAAAGTCCTGGTGGGTTCATAGGCATAGGCAGCGATGCGGTCGGATAGGTAGCTTGGGCTGGAACCGTTTATGGCTTTGGGTCTAGGCACGCAGGTCTGACAGGGCCTTCAGCCAAGCACTGAGTAAGGAGCGTTCCTTACTTGATGCTTGGCTGCAGGCAGCCTGGGTGTGTAGGCCGGGAAGCCTGCACCCTTAGGCCCAAAGCGTCTAGGCCTACGGGTGCAGGCTTTGGGCTTATGCCCCGGACCTGACATGGCCTTCAGCTGAGCACCGAGTAAGGAGCGCACCTTATTGATGCTTGGCTGCAAGCGACCTGAGTTCGTAGGCCGGGAAGCCTGCATCCATAGGCCCATAGTGTCTGGGGCTATGGGTGCAGGTTTTGGGCTTATGCCCCCGGGGCTGATAAGGCCTTCAGCTGAACACCGAGTAAGGAGCATTCCTTACTCACCACTCGGCTTCAGGCCCTGCTAGGTCCGGGTGCGTAGGCCCAAAGTCTGCACCTGTATGCCCAGACGCTTTGGACCTACGGGTGAAGTCCCCCCTCTCCCAATAATGAAAACGAAAACAGAACAAATATCTGACCTCCCGATTTCGGGAGGCTCAGAGGAAAACGGATCAGGGGGTTCGCCGAAAGCCAATACATGAAATGGATCAAGGGAAGTCCCAAATGGACATGACTCGTAGGGATGTTAAAAATATGTCAGTTTCCTTTTTGTTGCATATTTCAGTTTCCCAGTGACATTGCTGTCCCACCTCAATTCTACATTGGATTGTGAGCTTCCCCCTTCCAGCTTCCGACAGAGAAATCTGTACATATTTTGGTTTCCTCAAATTATTAATCTTTGCATTTGATTAAAATGTGTTTGTGCACATTTTCTCCAATAATTGCACATTTCATACATATTTTTTGATTGAACTTTCAACACGCACATAGGTTTTGTGTGCATGGCATTTCCTCCTTGAACCGAAATGCACTGCAAGCCTCAGATACATACAGACTTCAAGGGTAAACATTGATTTGTTCTGTTGTTAGTCCTAGAAGCTACAGAATGGATTTTTGTCATATAAAAATGAGAGCCCAGTGATTATATTTTCCATCCGTATATTCTGCCCAATTTTACGAACCTGTTTCCTCCTCTCTATATTTTAAAGCTAATAATAAATGTTGATCAAAGTCAGGGGCCGTGTGAGGTGAGGCATTTTGGGAGCTATAGTCCAATTAAAAAGTAAATTCTCCAAGCTCTGCTTTTGTGGCCATCTAATAGGGCAGACTATTTTCTCTTGCCTCATTCCCTCTGCCTGTGCTCTTCCCCTCTGCACCCAGACATCTAGTATTCTTGTAAACTGAGCCGCACCATCCCAATTTCTGGTTCTTTTCCCCTACAGGTACATTGGTTTATTCCTTTATCAACTGCTTCTCCTGTAAAACACATACCTACACCTGCACCAAGGGCGTCTATTGTGGAGGTGAGACCTTGGACACCAGCAGCAAAATGGGCAAACTGTTCTGGGCTGGTGTAACAAGAAATGGGTCTGGGAAGAATGTGTGATATAAAGAATGAGGCCTTAAATCCAGGACTCTCAACTTGGCTGGGTGGGGACAAAAAAGAGTGAGTCCTGGATCCCATTTAAGATTTGATGTGATCTGATTTAAGATTTGACAGATCAGATTTAAGATAGCAGCTGATGAGGCCTGGCAGTGGAATAGCTCTTGATGGATTTTACAGAGAGGAGGTTGCAAGTCGAAATGGATGAAGATCTGATTCTGGACTGTGCTCTGAGGTGGCACAAAATATACCACGGTGTGAAGCAATATAGTTTCTTCCGGGTAAGCAGTGTTCCTGCTAACAATCAGACTTCTTCCTCACAAGCCCATCAGCTTTCCCTAAAGCTTCTGCAACTGCTTCAATATGTTAATCAGGACACCCCTTCCAAGAATGGATATATTTATAACTGGTTACAGGAACATGCAGGAGTGAGTGTATTACACTCATACTAAAGTAACCACTGGCTGTCAGTCAGTTTCTGGGTAAAATAATAATAATAATAATAATACTTATTTATATCCTGCTCTATCACCCCGGAGGGTCTCGGGGCGGATTCCAAACATAAAAGGCAACATTCAATGCCCAAATACAACAACAATACATCCATACTAACAAAATTTAACAACCCAAAATATAAACACTAATTATGACTTAACAATTAAAATTAAATAACAAACACAGCCTGTTATAACAAGCATAAGACAAAACATCTGACATCAAACAGAAGCATCGATTTCTCAGTTCCTTGGGGCAAATAGAATAGTCATTGCTCAAGATATCTGTTGAGAGGGTGGGACAAGCAGGGCACAGATTCGGATGGTAGCTATTAATCAGAGGTATAATGATTAATATAATTAACCCACTGCCCCCGGTGGCGCAGTGGGTTAAAGCCCTGTGCTGGCAGGATTGAAGACCGACAGGTCGCAGGTTCGAATCCGGGGAGAGGCGGATGAGCTCCCTCTATCAGCTCCAGCTCCTCATGCGGGGACATGAGAGAAGCCTCCCACAAGGATGATAAAAACATCAAAAATCATCCGGGCGTCCCCTGGGCAACGTCCTTGCAGACGGCCAATTCTCTCACAACAGGAGTGACTCCTGACACGACAAAAAAAAAACTACAAAAAAAGAGGTATTTATTTATTGCATTTGTTTATTTATTGCATTTGTTGTACAACATATAAAAACAGTTTACAATACATAGTATTACCAACTACTACTTTTCCTCGTAAGCCAGTGAGCAAAGGTACGTCTTCAGTTGTTTCTTGAAAGCAGGGCGCATGGGGACATAACTCCTTAGGAAGGGAGTTTCAGAGGTGGGGGGCAGCCACGGAGAAGGCCCTTTCTCTTGTTCCCACCAGCCATGCTTGGGATGGGGTGAGACTGAGAGGAAGGCCTCCTTTGATGGCCGCAGTGTCCGAGTTGGTCTATAGTGGGAGATGCAGTTTGTCAAATAGTCTGTACAAAGTGTTGGTTTAAACCTTTAAAGTCCTACATGGTTTGGCTCCCGATTACCTACAGGTCTGCCTTCTCCCGTATAATCCACCCTGAACACTGAGGTCCTCTAGGGAGTAGCTATTCCAACCAGCCAGAATCCAGCTGGCAACCATCACCTAGAGGACCTTTTTGTCAACCACTCCAAAACTGTGGAATGACCTGCCAGATGAGCTCCCACAGCTAAATGAGCTGTCAGAATTTAGAACATATCTAAACATCTATCTCTTCCGGCAGGCCTGCCCAGTCAGTTTTAATCATAAATTTTCGACTCACACCTTGTGTTTTAATCTTTGTTCTGTTATTTTAGTATGTATTTTATAGAAATACGTTTTAATATGTGTATTTTGTAGAATGTCTAAAATAAGAAATAAAATTATTATGGGTTGCTGTAAGTTTTTCGGGCTGTATGGCTATGTTCCAGAAGCATTCTGTCCTGATTTTTCACCTGCATCTTTGGTAGGCATCCTTAGAGGTTGTGAGGTCAATGAGGATTCCTGCCATAGATACAGATGAAACGTTAGGAGAGAATGTTTCTGGAACATGGCCATACAGCCCGAAAAACTTACAGCAACCCAGTGATTCCAGTTGTGAAAGCCTTCGACAATAAAATTATTATGATTATGGTTATTTACATTTCAATCTCCTCCATTCTCTGCAGAGCTTAGAATGGCATTCATCATTATCCTCAGTTGGCCCAGAGTCAGCAAGGGCACCTCATATCTGCATTGGGATTTGAAACCAAATTGTCCTGGGGATTTGTTCAAAATACGAGCTATTGGGTGCTTTCATTAGGCAGGGTGAGGTGGTGTCTTCAGGCAGCAGATTTGAAATGACAGCAAAGTCTTGCTTAATTTCTATTGATGAACTGCTAGGAGGGGAATTTTACTACTGGGGGAGTACTTGTGGGCAATTTCTATCAAGGTGAGGCTATAAGGACAAAATTATTTTTTATCTTCACCTGGAAATTATGCACTTTGAAATAAATGTCATCATGGGGGGGACACTTTAGCTAATAAAATGTCTTAAGCTCATCCTGTGGGTTCAAGTGTGTACCTTATGATGGTGAGTAGAAAGCTAGTGTGAGGTAGTGATTTGAGCACTGCATTACAACTTTCAAGAACAGCGTTTCAATCCCCACTCAGCCATAGAAACCCACTTTCTCAGCCTCAGCGGAAAGCAACTTCCCCTCTGAACAAATCTTGCCAAGAAACCTCAGTGATAGGTCTACTTTGGGCTCACCATAAGTTAGAAATCATCTCAAGACATATAGCAATGTTATGATGGGCAGATGGTAAATGAAGATAATACCCTTGGGATCCTGTGTGTGGAAAAATGTAGATATGGAACAGTGTCTCCCTGGATAGCACTGTTCCATTTCAGCCTTGACCTTTCTTCAGATGGTGAATGGCAAACCAGAACTAATGGCAAGTGGCGCAGATTCCTTTCTGGTGAAGAAAGAGATGAATCACAATGACACAGGCAGATACCGGTGTGAAATGCTGGATCCAAAGGGACGTCCTGCCAGCCGGCTTGACTTCCAAGTAATAGGTGAGTGCTCTGGCTGTGGACTGAGGAGCATCTCAGAATGCTTTATTCTCATGTGTTTCTCCCAACACTCACATGTTCGGAGAAGCATCTCCCAAGATGACAGCCAGCTGCTACAACATCCACATGAACCACCTAAAGCAGGGATGGGGAATGTCCAGATCATGGATGTTGCAGATCTGAAGACAAAGAAAGCTTTTCTTTGTTCATATGGTCTTTTGCGTGAAGCCAACCTGGTAGTACACAATAACAATAAGAAGGAATATTTGTAAAATAGTTTTGAAAAGGGTTTTAGCTGATCAGTTAAGATCGAAGATGAAAAATAAATTTGTTATCTTCCACTGTAGGAATAGGAGGCACAATTTATTTTTCCTATCTAGAGTTCGGAAGTTAATTTTTCAAAACGAATGACTTCCAGTATCCTCTAGCCACTGTGGTCACTGCATGTGTCTATGCAGCTTTCCAAAGGTCTGTTCCTATTTGCACATCTTATTCTATCCCTTTGTTCTTCCTGCCTTCAGTACTGACTCCAGTTGGGAAGACCACCTGGTTCACGCGGCCACATCTAACTCCGTTGGAAGGCCCCTTTGCCTTAGGGGTCTCCTCCAGAGAACCACCTCCCCAAGAAGACTGGACAGCTTGGATTGTGATTGCGGTCACAGGAGGGCTGCTTTCCTTGGTTGTTATTGCCTTGTGAGTCTCACCATTATCTCACACTTGCAGCCCCATCCTTCTTTTCTATGACATACTAATTTGATATCAATGTAGCGTCCAAAACCATCCCTCCTCAAAAAGTGTGCTCTAGATGAATTAATAATTCTCCCTTTTCCATTTCATATTCCTGCTCATCTTTGTTCAGAAAATTGCATAGGTGCTTCTTTGAGAGAAAAGCAAGAGAAAAAGAAAGTAAATAAATAAGAGTGGCTTTGGGAGTTGGTGGAATGTGATTTGGAAAAGTTGTATTTGAGGTAGAGGAAGGTTAAGTATCTACACACCATCTGCTCCTTCTTTGCCCTGAATGATAGCCTCCTTGAGGGTGTCCCCCATGTTAAAAAAAAAAAAACAGCAGCCAAGAATGCAAGCAGGCCTCAGATTATGTAATATTGGAATAATGTTGTATGGACAAGCAGGCAGAGGCACCTGCGGCAAATGTAGGGAGCCACAGCACAGTTAGAATCTCAGTATTTAGCAGGCTCAACCATAGAATCATAGAGTTGGAGACCTCATGGGCCATCCAGTCCAACCCCCTGCCAAGAAGCAGGAAAATTGCATTGAAAGCACCCCTGACAGATGGCCATACAACCTTTGTTTAAAAGCCTCCAAAAAAGGAGCCTCCACCACACTCCAGGGCAGACAGTTCCACTGCCGAGCAGCTCTCACACCCAGGAAGTTCTTCCCAATATTCAGATGGAATCTCCTTTATTGTAGTTTGAAGCCATTGTTCCGCGTCCTAGTCTCTAAGGCAGCAGAAACAAGGTTGCTCCCTCCTTTCTATGACTTCCCCTCACATATTTATACATGGCCCTCATCATGTCTCCTCTCAGCCTTCTCTCCTTCAGGCTAAACATGCCCAACTCTTTAAGCCGCTCCTCATAAGACTTGTTCTCCAGACCCTTGATCATTTTAGTTGCCCTCCTCTGGACACATTCCAGTTTGTCAACATCTCTCTTCAATTGTGGTGCCCAGAATTGGACACAGTATTCCAGATGTGGTCTAACCAAGGCAGAATAGAGGGGTAGCATGACTTCCCTGGATCTAGACACTATACTCCTATTGATGCAGGCCAAAATCCCATTGGCTTTTTTTGCCACCGCATGACATTGTTGGGTCATGTTTAACTTGTTGTCCATGAGGACTCCAAGATCTTTTTCACACCTACTGCTCTCGAGCCATGTGTCCCCTATTCTGTATCCATGAAGTTAGTTATATTATCCTTGCCATTGGTTTGCATGAATAAAGTTGTTCATACAACGCAAGAGTAACTCTCAGAAGTCAGGGCATCGTTAATAGACCAGGCAAAGAAGATAGTGATCTCCGAAGCTAAAATACTTGCAATCTGTTGCTTTAGATTTCACCTTCTCCTCTGCTTAACCCCCCCCCCCCCCCCCCCCTCCCTTTACAGCGTGCTTTATTATCGTCGTAAGAACAAGAAAGATGAGAAGGAGCAGGAACAGGAGGAGGAAGGAGAAAACGAAGAAAAGGGAGAGGACGAAGAAAAGGGAGAGAACGAAGAAAAAGGAGAGAATGAAGAAAAGGGAGAGAATGAAGAAAAGGGAGAGAATGAAGAAAGTGAGAGTGAGTCTTGAGTTGGTGGAAATGAGAAACTTCTTCCATATTCAAGGTTCATTTATGTCAGATCCTTATATTGTACTTGCCCTTTGAATTCATTTATTTATTAATATATAAAGACAGTGGGTATATTTTACTAAATAAAGACTTTGGGAGATAATTATGTTTGGCTTCTCAGGTGGCTTTAGGCTTATTGGATATTTTTCTCCATACAGGGCCTCAGATATTGCTTGAATCTACCTAAGTTAGTTTCACAAGGGAGTAAACAAACAGAACAACATAACAGAGGCAGTGAGAAATGATGTTTATTTCGAGAGTGAGCAGCAGAGATTGAAAAGTTTGGCATGTACCTCTCTGAACGTATGGGTGTTGAAAGCATAACAGAACTTAGAAGTACTACAAGTCCTAGAATCCCCTAGCCCAGTGGTGTCAAACTTGTGGCCCTTCCTGTTTTTTGGATTTCAGCTCCCAAAATTCTTGGCCATTGGAGAAGTTGTCTATGCTTTTAGATGTTGGAGTCTGAAATAACTGGAGGGCCACAGGATTGACACAGCCCTAGCCAGGAATTGCCATTGTCTATGCTGGCAGATTATGAAAGACATTATCTAACTTTTCCAAACTGTTGTACAAGGCACATTTTTTTCGTGTCAGGCGTGACTTGAGAAACTGCAAGTCGCTTCTGGTGTGAGAGAATTGGCTGTCTGCAAGGACATTGCCCAGGGGATGCCCAGATGTTTTGATGTTTTACCATCCTTGTGGGAGGCTTCTCTCATGTCCCCGCATGGAGAGCCGGAGCTGACAGAGGGAGCTCATCCATGCTCTCCCTGGATTCGAACCTGTGACCTGTCGGTCTTCAGTCCTGCCAGCACACGGGGGCTCCGTTTTTTCCTATGAGGTCTATTTTGTGGGCTTTTCCTACGGCAGGCCCTTGCTTGCGCAAAACAAAGTTGAAACAAGCAACATATGTGTTAAATGCTACTATTTCCTTTGGCCAGTTCATCAACATCAGGGAGTCCAAAGAAAAAGGCCACAAATAAAGAACTCATGTGGTCTGCTAACCGTTAGGCTACAAGAGTTGGGCACAAAGTTGTAATTCTCCAAGGTAGTGGAGAGATGCATTTACCCTCAAACAATAGCAGTTGCTTGTTCTTATACTGTCCATCTTCATAAGGTGACAATATGTAAGGCAAAATATAACATAGCCAATGTACTTTACACCTGAAGCAGCTGCTGAAGTGAGTTAACTTTGAAGGTAAGTGCAGCCAGCACATAAAAACAGGAGCAGCATACCCTTTTATCCATATGAGGTCGACTCTACTTCTATCTTTTGTTCTTCAAATAAAAGGCTTACAGCTATCATAGGAATTTAAAAAATCATCCCAGTTTGGACCCATGCTTTTTCTGCTTGCTTACATGTATAAGTTATACAAGAGAGGGCTTTAATAATGATAAGGCATCTGGCTAATTATATTAAGCAATTTAAAAGAAACATTTAGTTGTGTTAAAGCTGAAAAATTGCTCTGTGGTTGTGAGGGAGAGATGGTTATGTCACAGCCCCCCTCCTGCTTTAAAAATATTTGCTATTTCTTTAGCTTGGCCCTCAAGATCTTATGTACAAGATGACAACGTAAAAAGGGTATGCTCTCTGCAATAGGCAGGATTCTCTTACTCTTCACTGCTTTTATTTTTCAAAGCACAGGCATAAGTGTACCTTATGAGCATATGTATGGTTCACATTTTATTTGCCTTGTGCCACTTTTAACTGCCACCTTTCCTCCTACCAATTGCTGCCATTGCCAGGCAAATAATTCTGAAAAATGTAGTTTCATGATATTTCTCTATTAGTTTGCCCAACAGAAAAGAGGAGACAATAGCTGGCACCGTGATAGTGATATATGCATATTGGGCTAATTATTTGTCATAATGCAACAGATATTCTGCTGGCAACACCGGAAGCAAAATTGTGCATGCATTAACGTGCATGCAGAACTGCTATGCTATGTTGTGCCATAGACCACCACCTCCTCAACAGTCTCTTGACATCCATTCTCTGCTTTGTGGGGAAAAGGAAGGACTGTAGAAGCATCTGGCTATAATCCTGTAGCCAGATGAGCAATTATTACAATTGCACTGAGAGGACTCAGTGAATCTGAATGCTGGTGTCTTCATTTTGCATCTGGCTAAAGGGACACAGCCAGATGCTTCTGTGATCCTGCCCGCTCCCCATGAATTAGCAAATAGCCACCCAGGGGGCTTCAGAGACTGTTATGTACATTTGAAAAGGTGATTTGGAAAGGAATACAACTCCAAAAATGGGCTTACATAAGCATGCATTTATTTTACCTGCATGTATGCCCCTAACAGGATGCCAGCCAATCTGATCTGTAGATGTTTAATTTCAACCCCATGGTTCCTTACTTTGCTAGTGTTGATGGAAGATGCAATCCCACAATACATGTGGAAGGCCATATATTCCCCACCCCTCATCCCAAACTACGACAGAACTACAATTCCCAGGAATTCTAGTGACAATGGAATGACTATCCTTAAACCAGATTAAGTCTTTGGTTAGCAAGGCTCTTAAATATCTACATAACATGATCTGTGACCACAACTGTGCCCTGATATTTCCTGAACCAAGTGTTTGGGATTTTCCAGCAGCCTTTGGTTACTGGAACATGACACACCATCAGCATCTCTCTGCAAATGTGCCCGTCTCTCTTTCCAGCCACCTTAGCGAGCTGGCCTGCCCCTCTACCCCAAGCCCAAAGAATGTTTTTAAAGCTCTCGGTATGCTTACGTTCCCTCAACATTTTAACATCAAGTAAAAATGGAAAAGCTAAGAGAATGACATGATCTGATGAAGGTGGCACCTGTTCTTCCAGCTGTTAAAAATATTGTTCAGTCCCCAACACAGAAGGTCATCTTTATCTTCATTTTCATAAAGACATGAGGTTCCTCCTGCTGGTTCACTCCATTTTGGTTGGGCATTGGAAATTATAGCTTCTGCCTCACTACAAAGGGCTGAGACTCCAGAATCCAAATTATTTGAAGAATTGGCACTTCCCTTCCAAATGAAACAAAACGGGATATCCCAAACAAGGTAAAATATGTGCTTCTCAATCATAGTGCATATAAATCAGTGGGACAGTCCAGGTGTATACAGAGCTATTATCCCTCATGTTTCTATGAAGCCAGCATGGTGTCTTGAAGATCCTGTTATCTTGGACCACAGCATTTCCCATTCTGTTAATGACTTCTAGAGTTGATATGAGGCAGATATTGAAATATACCAAGATGACAAGCAGAAGTGACAAAATCCATATGCCAAAATGTTAATGCAAGATTATAATCAACATCATTAAGAACCCAGATGTCAGCAATTTGGTTCCTGCCAAGGTGGCATCCAAAGTTGTCAAGAATGCAAACATTAGTGATTTTGTTCCAGGCAAGATAGCATCCAAAATGGATGCTATTCCAAATTACTTGTTCCATGATGAATCAGAAATTGGTGACTTAGAAAAAACATGTCTGGATAAATTCCAAACCAGGATTTATCGCTCTTGAGCTGTCTCACTGATTTCCAGTCTTCCTGGCTTCTTCTATCTCCAGATGGATGGAAGTAAGGCTTCTTTCTGGGATTGCCTGGCCTTCATGAAGAGGTATAGCACTGACACAACCAAACATCAGTGGTTTCATTTTTTTCCAAGGGAGCAACTGGATGTAGAAACAAGACCATCTATGATGAAACTTGGTGTTGACCACTCAAACACTGTTGCTGTTGCCCATTCAAGATGGAATTCAGTGCTACTATGACTTTAAAGGATATAAGAAGGATTCTCCCCCTTTTCCTTCAGGCCTTGGGGACCAGATGGACCACTCCTATTACCATTGCTCCACCATTAAATCTATCATGTGGTTGACGCCGAGGTCAGATGAATCAAAAAAGTCTGTGCAGAAAATACTGCCACCAACAGGGCTGGTAGATCCCAAACCTGATGCAGAGCCTGTGGTCAAGGCCTCTAGCCAGTCGACAGGGTCAAATCCGGCACGGGTCCCATTCCCTTGCCAAGTGTCTGGGGGAGATGGAGGCATCTCCAGAGAGTCAGGGGAGAAAACAGAGGACAGGGAGTCCAGTGATGCAGATGAGGAGGAGGCTGTTGACAGGAAGTCATAGGGTCCAGGGAAATCAAAGATGGCAGAGGTCACCAAAGGAAGGTCACTGCTGGGCCGGGCTTTCTTTGGTGGTGATGCTTCTTGGTGGGCAAGTGGAGATAGGGTAACCCGATCATCAGGGACCTCCTGGGTCAAGGCATGTGTCTGAAGAAGGTTGTCTAAAAAGAGAGGAAAATAAATATATTATTATAGCAGTAAAAATACTCAACCCTCCTACCCCAGATCTCATTTGAATCAAGGCTCAAAAAAAAGCTGAGACTCATTACCTGTTTGCTGGATGTGAGAACTAGTGACAGCTTAGCACTTGATCATGAGTGGAGTACCAGTGTAGTGCCACCTTCTGACAGCTAAGCTATAGGCATAAGCGTCAAGAGTGGTGCACATAGGTGATCAGAGGCACTGTACTTTTAGAGCTGGCCCTAGCTAGCCTTAGTTTAAAATCACCCTCTGTATTTAAAGGCAAGCTGCAGCAAGTACTGCAAGCAATGTGGGATATGTCTTGTAAAATACATCCTGACCTGCTGTGAAACCTTGGCTTTGATCCTTGCGATTTCAAGCCATTATTTCTCACAGCTCTCTATTTGCTTAGTTCCACCTGGCCTCTTACAAACTTTATCAGTTTCCTGACCTCCAAACTCTTGATTTATGATAACTGCATCTTATTCTTCAACAGAAGATTATTTATGACAGCCTGTTTCTCACCACTGGGTAACCAACAACCATATCTTACCACCCATCTGGGTTTAGGGACTATGTTGTAAGTAAAGATAATCTAATTCTGGAGGAGGCTTGATACCTATGAGATCACACTTTAGAACAGGGAGGAGAAGTGCAGTGCTTTGACTTTTGGAAAGCAGTTTCCATCAGCTGTACCCAGGATGGCTTAGAAGCAGTAAGGGATGATTAGTTTTGTAGTCCAGTAACTTCTCACATCTTTCTCAGCTCTGCTTTAGAAACATTGAGTCATGCATATCTGTGCGTTTGTGATCATATAGTCTCTTCATGCACCTAATCCTGGTTGAAAGTTGCACTCTAGTGTTTAGTAAAGGGTACTGGAGACATTTTCTCACCTGTACACATTAGTGGTTCCTCCAAGATGTCTTCAATTGACTGACTTGGCACCAGCTGTACAAAGAGAAGAGAGAACAACTGATGTTAAAAGATTTCTTACTCAGCCTAATCATTCAATGGGCTTTGGGACAAGTGGGGGTTTCTTTCCTAAAGAGATCCTTCTATGCATTATTGGGATTCGGCGGTGTTTGAGACAGACATTAGCATATGATCATGGAGCTCAACCTCAGAGTTGGCTTTCTAGGTATCCTTTTAGCTCTGTAGTATTAATTGTGTTTAAAAAACTCAGAACGCACTTGTACACTGCATTGCTAGCAAATCTTAGAAAGGGAAAATCCCTTCAAAACCTAGAAAGTTACCAAACAGTGGTATCATAGGGAAGGTCAGTTGGGCATCTGGGAAAGCCCAAGGTCCAAACCTGGGACCATTTGCATGCAAAATGCATGCTCTAGCCCAGGTTGAAAGCTACAGCGGCTGCTCCCTAAGCATTGGGCTTATTTTTTTGCTTTCAAGACAAAGATAACCATCCCCTCCTGAAAAAAAAAAGAGAACAGGGGAAAAAGGGAATATGGTTCCTTGGGAGCAGAGTTTTGTGCAGATGCATTCCAAGAAGGAGCAGCAGAACTCTGCAGGTTGGAAATATTCAAATGGAGAGTTCCAGAGTTGCCCACAGCCTGGCTTCCTTTCATTCCTTACTTGGTGAGAACAAACAGATTAATGAGCACTGAGAGGTCTGTTGAACTGAAGCCACAGTTCTCATTAATATGGGCAAAGCAACAGCAGCCACCAGTGAATAGACTGCGAAAGCATCGAGCCTGGAATGCAAATGATGGCTACTTCCTCGCTGCTTCATGGTACCTGGGCTTTCTGGATGGCCTCTTGGAGCTCCTCCTCCAGGGAACGGGTTCCTGTTGGGGTGGGATCAGTGGGGCTGGCTGTGATTTCAAGGGGTAGCTCCATATCAGAATGAATGGGCTCACAGGATGGAGGGCACAAAACCTAGTTAGAAGAAACACAAAAAAGTGAGCCTGGCTTATTCTTTCTGCCCCAGGCAAAAAAGTATTTCCTCTAGTTTTTAGTACAGGTGTGGGCAACTGTGGAATCCTCAAGTGGCTACATGAATTGCCAAAAATACCCCAAAGATAAAATGGACACCTGGCCTGACATCCCATGTTACATGTGGCTAACCTTTTCACATGGAGTAGCCACCCTAAACATGACAGACACATGCAAACAGCTTTCTGCAAACCTTGCAATGGCTTCCCGGCAGCCAAGAAGTCTGGGGACCTACAATTAGATTTCTACAGAAGATTTCTAGAAGGCAACAGCCCAAAATAATTCATCCAAGCATCTGATTCCAAATTTCCCTTCACTGCACCTCACTCTCTTTTAGGTTAGTCAAGGAATGCCAGCTTGCTCACCATGAAGCCATCATCCCTGCCTCCTGCCTCCTTGGAACATTCACGCTGTGGGATGTACGGTGGGGGTGCCCCATGTTGGTTGGGAGATGGCAGCACACTTTTGCGGCGGTTCTTGATCCGCTTGTGCATCTCAAGCTCCACTCGGAGATCATCATCCTGGTGTTTCTGCTCCCTGTGGAGCTTCAGTGCCAGGTTCTGGGCCACCCGCTGCTTCTCCCGAAGGGCCTGGGCCTCCTCTTCTAGGTCAGAGGGAGCCAAGCGGGTGCTGGTAGAGAGAGGGACAGGTGGAGGCTTGGCCCGGACCATCTGGTAAGGCTTGAGGCGTTCAAGCAGGGCCGGCTTGGTGCCAGAAACAGGGAGGCCCCGCTTACGGAGCTGCTGACGGAGTTCAGACACCTGGGAATCAGATCAGTGGCCACAAGGTTTTACATAGTGAAAGATACTGTAAAATAGCACATTTTATTCATTCTGCTCATTTTGCCAAGCAGTGCAAAGTTCAAGAAGCAACATTTCTCTAGTCTATGGAAGGCCAATGATGTAATGAAGTTGCATGTCATTGGACTCATGGAAATTCCCATTAGAATCCCATTAAAGAATTTTAGTTCATTTGGCATTTGTGAGCACGTATGGCATTTGTGAACATGTATGGGTGGTGTTTCAGGTGGCAACTAGCAATTTCAGTACCCAAACTCACCGTTAGCTCTTCCAAGTTGGCAGGCAGCAGTTCTGGCTTGGGAGGAGAAGGAGAGGTTGGTGTAGCTGGAGACGGAAGCGGGAGTGGAGGAGGCCCACTTGGTTGGGCAGGTGTCCCAGGAAAGCTCAGGACCTGCTCTGGAGCACTACTAAGCAGAACAGAGAGAGAGAGAGAAAAGAGATTGCGACACCATTGGACATCATTAAGATAGAAAAATAAACAATTGATCATCCTGGCTCTCTGTAGCACAGTTTGATCATCTTCTCCAACAAAACAATAGGGAAACAAACATTAAACAATATTTTAGGGAAGTTTTTTTGGAGTAGAGTCCCCAGAACCCCCTATGGATATTTGCCATGCTGGTTGGCCAACTGGCTGAATTCTGGGAGAACATGCAAAACATCACTTTCCCTTACTTTTTCAAGCTCTGGAGTGAACCTATTAGCAGCTCAGACATGTTTTTGTAGTAGTTCTCCTGATCTACTACAAACAGAGCCCTTGAAACTCCTACCTGGCTGGGACAGTGTGCAAGGCTTGGACACAGAAAGTGGCTGGTGAGGTTGGTGTGGGCTGCTGCTGCTGGTTCAAGATCTGGAGCTGCAAGAAGACCTGCTGCTGTTGCAGGAGGCGGGCATAGGCTGCGTCCATGGGCACCGGTGCCTGCTCTCCCTTCTGGTCAGGTGGCATGTACTGGTGGTACTTCAGCTTCTTCACTTTGGGCCGAGCTTCCTTCACTTTCTTAGGGCGTGGAGGTTTCCTGGCTTCAGGAACCTTGGGAGGTGGCTTGGGGGAAAGGAGGAAGGGGAAAAAAGGGAGGCCAATCTCAATATCTAAGTAGAAGCCGGAAAGGGACAAAAGAAGGCAACGAAGCACAGTAATTAGACCAAAGTTAACAAAGCACTGGCCAAAATCTAAGTATGGCCACTGGTCATACTAGCTGGTGTATTCTGGGAGCAAAAGTTCCAAAAATTAATGTTTCCAATCTTGGTCAATTATGGTTATTCTAATCTCAATGAGTGCTATAATGATTTAAGTGTTGCATTACAATTCTGGAGGCCATGCTTCAAATCCCTGCTTAGACCAGTCTGACCTTGGGTAAATCAAACTAAATGAAAGGCAAAAGTAACACCTCTGAACAAATCTTGCCAAGAAAACACCGTGACAGAGTGATCTTAGGGTTGCCACAAGTCAGAAACATTGGGACTAGATTGTCTTCCAGGACTATGAAATTACAGTCCCAATAAACCATCTGCCTATAAATGTCAGATCCTAAACAATTCACTCCATGTATCTGAAAATGTAGACTTAGTCTGTAAAAGCTTATGCTCCTAGCTTTGTTGTCTCCATCTCTAAGGTGTTACAAGATCCGTTCACATACAGCCCTCAAAAGTAAACAAACCCCAGGTCATACATTTTCCCACCAAAAACAATAGATCCTTTGTTCACCAACACATCCTTTTCCACAGAATGCTGGTTTGCTAAATATCTCTCTGTACCTTAAGGAGTGAAATAGAGGGCTTGGTAAGAGGGCTCCCTCCTTGGAGAGGGAACTCGGCCTCAGAGGTGGATGATGATCCAGGGGGCTGCTGATCTGCCAGCATCGGGGGAATATCCAGCTGCAAGAAGGAGAGAAAGAAAATAGAACCCAGGGGCTCCCACTCTCGGTCTCAATTCCTGTATCCTCAGTCCAAGACCCAAACCGATTTCTCTTTTCTTTATATAAACTCCTGCATAATGATCTTTGGATCCTCTGGTCTATTTCTCATTATCAGTGAAGGCAAAGGTTTCCTATTCTGGTCAAGTTTTCTGGTCAAGTATGTAGTTTTGTGCTGATCTTTTGGTGTGTCTCCAAAAACAAAGCTCTTATCCCTGAGCCCCGCAGTGGTCCAAGTGGCCTTTAGAGGGCAGCAGGACCATACATACACATATTTATTTTATTGAGTGGATATCCACACACAAGCAGTTTGCTGGGCATTGGTATTTTGGGTTGAGAATGGAGAGGGATTTTTGTTTTACTTTTCCATATATTAAACCTTACTCCAATACTACTCCTATGAAGGCATCCTGTAGTTTTGACCATTCAGTTTTATCTTTTACGTTGCTCTGTGGCCCAGGACCATAGCCACAGTGTAGATAGTAAATTGGTAAAATGTAAAAGAAAAATGGGGAGACCTCAGAAACTCAAATGGCACAGCAGAAACTAAACATAGCATGTAAGGATTAATTTCTATCCAATGCGTGTAGGCACCTGAGATTAACTAGCATTTATTTTAAAATCTTATATGTAATATGAGATACCTGGAAACCTATTAGGCCATCTGTGTTCAGCACATAACCTATGTAATATGTAATATAAAATAACCAGTTGCTTACCGGAAAAGCAGTCCCTGAGGTAGGATTCGCATGAGTGCTTCCTGGAGACAGAGCAAAGCAGGGGGATGAGGATGAAGATGAACTACTAAGGTCTTCCTCAAAGTTGAAGGAACTGGGAACAGTTGGAGTTGCATCTGGAAATGGGGTGGAGAAAGAGCTCGGGTTTAGTACCCCAAAGGCAATGTGTTCTGCTTCCAACAGCATTTTTTTCTTTTATCTATATCAGCGGTTCATGCACAGAGGAAGAATTGTTTAAAGCTACAGTTGCTGTTGTCCATTTTTGGTCTAAAATTATTCAGCTGCTCGTGCTCCCTTTATTTTATTTTATTTTATTTGACAGAGAGGGAGTATTCCCATTCACTTGCAGCTAGAGCCTTTCAGAATCTAGTCGAGCCATTACCTGTCACAGCATCCTTAATGCCTGGATCCAAAGGGAGGATGTTCTTCTTCACCAGCTCAAGTGGTCCAGGGCGGTGTAGGATCTTCTCGCTCAGGTCTTCGGCCAGGCGAGCCTTTTTGTCCTGCAGCTCGGAAGGGTCCCCTGGAGGCACTGCAGAGGACAAAGAGGAAAAAAAGAAGACAGGGAGTTCATGGAAAGGCCAAAGAAGAATATAAGAGCAGCCTTGGCCCATTAGACTGGAGATCTGGCAATCCAGCAAGTTGGAGCTGGAGTCTGGATTTTATCGTTTACCCCAACTAGTCAAGATCTATTGTTGGTATTCATCAACTGATTCAATGGATTTACCAACTGATTTATCATTGAACACCTAAGGTTCCATTAAAGTTGGAGAAACCAAAAGCATAAAGTTGGAGAAACCAAAAGTTAAACAGGTATGATGTAAGTTGCTTCTAGCACCTAGTAGTTAGATGTAAAGTTTGGGCAGGTGGGGAGAGTTATTTGTTGGATTAAAATTCCCAGAATCCCCAATAAACATGGTTATGAGGGTTTCTTGGATGTATAGTCCAAACCTGGGATGGAAACATTTGTCCATAGCATCTGCTAATTTGACCTCTGTAATCTTAACTGTGAAGGTTTTGTTTTATGGTATGGATCTCTTTTCCAGGAGGATAATCCCTTTAAAACAGGTTTGGGCAAACTTTGGCCCTCCAGGTGTTTTGAACTTCAACTCCCACAATTCCTAACAGCCGGTAGGCTGTTAGGAATTGTGGAAGTTGCAGTCCAAAACACCTGGAGGGCCAAAGTTTGCCCAAACCTGCTTTAAAAGCTATTCCTAGTTGGCAAGGGATTCTTGGAAGTGAACAACTGGGGCTGGATCTCCACTGCCCTATATCCCAGGATCTGATCACAGATTATCTGCTTATCCCACATTATCTGGCAGTGTAGACTCATATAGTCCACTTCAAATCAGATAATCTGGGATCAGATCCTGGGATATAGGGCTGTTTAGATCTAGCCTGGGGAGTGATGTTTAGGTTCCTAGACCTGGAGCATCTCTGGAAAAATCGGATATTTAGCACATTCAGATATGAAAAAGGTGGAAGAGTGCCCCGCAGTTTTCCAAACAATATAATGAACTGATCCAAAAAACCATGAGATTTGTTCCTTATTCCCTTTTAACCCACACCTCATTGATTGAAAATTAGATGAAAAAGTAGAAGGTAGGAGCACAGATAGAATTTTAATCACCAGCCAGACTGAGAATTATATTTCAAAATAAGAAGGTTTTTTTTGTTCTATAGGAGCTCCCGGTGGTGCAGTGGGTTAAACCGCTGATCTGCTGAACTTGCTGTCTGAAAGGTTTCAGGTTCAAATCTGGTGATTATGGTGAGCTCCCACTGTTAGCCGCAGCTTCTGCCAACATAGCAGTTCAAAACATGCAAATGTGAGTAGATCAATATGACTTTGGAGGTGTCTATGGACAATGCTGGCTCCTTGGCTTAGAAATGGAGATAAGCACCAACCCCCAGAGTCGGACACGACTGGACTTAATGTCAAGGGAAAACCTTTACCTTTACCTAGGAGAGTCTCATATAGAACTTTTGGCACAATCCTAAATGCCAGAAGTCAGGATGTTTAAGTTAATAGAGGAAAAGGGTAAATTAATTTTAAAAAAAAATAGATGATGGGGTATGACAGTCCAGACTCCTGGATCCTTTGAAGCTGAATTTGCTCAGATGAAATAAAACCAGGGCGCCCAATTATTAAAGCTTCTGGCTCTTAGATCAATGCATATTAACTTTCAGAAGGATTGACACCGACAAATGAGATAAGTTGTTTCCCCCCCTTACCTTCTACAGGCTGGGCCTTGGTTGTGCTTGTCTTGTGGGGCCGAGGAGAGGCTTTGCAATCAGCTTTCAGCTTTGCGATCTCATTGGCCTGAATAAAAGCAGAAGAATTGCATCCTTAGCAATGTATGCAAATCAATAAAATAATTCACCCTAGTCTCATAAAGTGACCGTATCCCATAAGATAACCATGACTAAGTCAGGTACAGGCGTCATGACTGCAACAAGTGCTGGCAAACATTGTATTTGGATGGCTGGGGGTTCTGAGAGCTGTAGTCTAAAAAGTAACTTTTTCAAAACTATATACTGGGGGGCACACATTGGACCATAGCATTTGGACAGCCTTCTAGATGAATTTTTAAATGGAGAGTCTTTTGCGTTCCTCCTTAGCAATGTGGAGTCCCAGGACTGGAAAAATTTGGGAGGAAAAACAAGTATGATTTGGACCTTCTGGCACTATTTGTAGCAAAAGGTAAAAAAAAATCTCAAATATATGTTCAATTTGCAACTACCATATTTTCCTGATTCTAAGGTGCATTTTCCCCCATTTTAGGCACTCCAAAAATGTGGTGCATCTTACACTTTATAGGGCCCCCTCGTGACACAGCAGGTTAAATCACTGAGCTGCTGAACTTGCTGACCAAAAGGTTGGCGGTTCGAATCCGGGGAGTGGAGTGAGCTCCCTTTGTTAGCCCCAGCTGTCAATCTAGCAGTTTGAAAACATGCAAATGTGAGTAGATCAATAGGTACCGCTTCTGCAGGAAGATAACGGCACTCCTTGCAGTCATGTTGGCCACATGACCTTGGAGGTGTCTATGGAAAATGCCAACTCTTTGGCTTAGAAATGGAAATGAGCACGACCCCTCAGAGTTGGACACGACTAGACTTAATGTCAGGGGAAGCTTTTACCTTTACACTTGATGGTGCCTTAAATTTGCTGATTTGGGCTTTTTTTTATTATCTTACCACCAAGAGAGGAGGGACCACAGAGATAGTAAAAAAAAATCTCATGAAGAAAAGCTAACTTCCAGATTGAAATAAACACAAGATACCGTGCATACAGAGGAAATCCTAAAAACTATTGAGAGAAAACTCTCTTCCACTCCCCCCAATATTGAAAATTCAAAAGCAATATGTGCCTTCCATTTGATGGCACTTTAGATTCAGTGAAATATGATATGTTTGGAAAAATGTATATAATGAATCCCAAATGATTGCTGTGCATTTTTCAATTTCCCTTCCAAAATGTCTTCTTTTTCTGCTTTGGAAGGACCCAGGAAACTGTCTTAATAACTTAAATATTCTGAAATTGTTAATTGTTTCTCCCCCACGCCAATACTGGATGAGATAAGAGCCTATAGTTGAACACTGTGAACACCTCCCGCCCTGAAAGGGAACTTTAAGGACCTGCGTGCACTGCCAAGATGCTAATTCATCTTTCATCTTATTAAGTCACAGAAATGTTTCACCCACAGAGTCTAAAATGAATGTTGGGCAACGACGGCAGCTGTTGAGTGACACAACACATGCCGTAAAAGCAGGAGGTCTTGAGTTCATTATCTTGCATTTCCAGTTAAAAGGATCACCGGCAGCAGAGCTATGAGAGGGAGAAAGAGGCACTCTTTCTCTACCTTTGACTTTAAAGAAGATTGTGATGGTTATAATCGCAATAAACAGTTGGACAGTAGCACTAAAGAGCTGCCTCCTGCCATAAGAGCATGCTCAAGTGTTGAGATCTTCCTGAAAGGGTCATTCTATACAACTCAAGGGTGAGAAAAGGGCAGGACTGGGGGGGAAACCTTGTACACATTTAGTCTCAAAAGTTGATTGATGCTCAGGATGGGAATCGGTTGAACACAGCCTCTCATAGGAGTCAGCTACTCAAACACCTGAAAAGGATTTGCACCAACACCAGCCATGTCCCATACATGACTGGAATCCACGGATCTACTCACTTTGTTCTGAGTCCCACTGGGTTGCGGAAAAGTTGCAAGGGGCTTGYTGAGAGCTGGAGAAATCAGAAAGGGGAGCAGGTCAGTCAAACCACTGGAGGAAATGTATCACTTTTTGTTAATACATGTAGAACTCAGCTAATGAAGGTTTTGAGAAACTGCAAGTCGCTTCTGGTGTGAGAGAATTGGCTGTCTGCAAGGACATTGCCCAGGAAATGCCCAGATGTTTTTTGATGTTTTACCATCCTTGTGGGAGGCTTCTCTCATGTCCCCGCATGGGRAGTTGGAGCTGACAGAGGGAGCTCATCTGCACTCTCCCCAGATTCGAACCTGCGACCTGTCGGTCTTCAGTCCTATCAGCACAAGGGGTTTAACTCACTGTGCCACTGGAGGTTCCTAGTTAATGAAGTTGATCTGCCCCTAGGCAGGACTCTTTTAATACACGCACAGAGGCAGTCCCTGAGTTACAAACATCCGACTTCAGAAACAACTCATAGTTAAGAACAGGTGTGAGACAACAGGAAGTGGGAGGAATCTACCCCTCAGAAGGGAAATTCACTCCTGGAGGAGTTATCATGGGAAAAAGGTGTCTCCACTTAAGCTTTCTCGCCAATCCTTGTTTCTACAAGTCAAAATTTTTCAAAATCCAATTATTTTAGGGACAGAAAGTGGGGTGAAATCTTCCAAACAAGGACACAGACAGCAAAGCAAACACCACAGGTGTGTTAACCATTTCCTATGCTATCCAAAGCCTGTGTGTGTGTGTGTGTGTGTGTGTGTGTAGCTGGAGTTACACCTGTTCCAACTTGCATACAAATTCAGTTTTAGAACAAACCTACAGGATCTCATTTGTAATTTGGGGACTATCTGTATATCTAAAAGCATTTATGTAGCCCTTGACAGAAGCCTTGGTGGCACAGTGGATTAAACAGCTGAGCTGCTCAACTTGTTGACCGAAAGGTTGCAGTTTTGAACCTGGGGAGCAGTATGAACTCCTGCTGTATGCCTCAGCTTCTGCCAACCTAGCCGTTCGAAAACATGAAAAATGTGAATAGATCAATAAGTTCCAATCCAGCAGGAAGGTAATGGTGCTCCATGCAATCATGCCAGCCACATGACCTTGGAGGTGTCTGCAGACAATGCTGATTCTTCAGCTTAGAAATTGAGATGAGCACTAACCCCCAGAGTTGGACAGTTAATGTCAGGGGAAAACCTTTCCCTTTACCTTGACAGAATCCATTGGAATACATATACATATATGTTGGGGGGAACTCACCTGGAATTAAGTGGCGTTCAGAGAGCTGCTCCTGGGACCGCCGGTGTTGCATTCGCAGTTGGAGTACTGTGGAGAGGAAGAAAGGATATATATAATGATCAACCATTACAAGTCTGATTACAAGTCTTTTGAATTTTTAAAAAAGTGTCAAAATGATCTCAGATTTAATTTTACTTATATGTATATATATATACACACACACACCCTGTCGTGAGAGCTGCTGATATAGAATAGGTTAGAAATATTTATTATATAAATAATGCATAAACCTTTTGATGTTCGGTCAAGCAGACTAGCTGCCCAAAGTCTACTCTTCCATACATACATGAACAAAATAATGTCAAACTATGTCTGATTAAGTTTAGAGCCCCTGGTGGCACAGTGTGTTAAACCGCTGAACTTGCTGATCAAAAGGTTGGCTGTTTGAATCCGAGGAGCAGGGTGAGCTTCCGCTGTCAGCCCCAGCTTCTGCCAGCCTAACAGTTTGGATCCCCATATCCAAAGAGTCATTCTGCCAACCTAACATGTAAATGTGAGTAGATCAATAGGTACTGCTCTGGCAAAAAGGTAATGGCGCTCCATGCAGTCATGTTGGCTACATGAACTTGGAGGTGTCTACGGACAACTCCAGCTCTTCGGCTTAAAAATGGAGATGAGCACCACCTTCCAGAGCTGGATACAACTAGACTTAATGCCAAGGGGAAACCTTTACCTTTCCTATGCCTGATTAAACTCTGGATGGTTGCTGTGATTTCAAATGGCTCCCTTGCCATGGCTGATGTTTTGGACTAAATTCTTAATGGCAAATATGAGGAAGATAAATGCTCATATTGCTGTATACATGCACCTATCGCGATTCATGCGCTCACACTGAAAGGAAGGAAACAGCTCTCTGAAAACAAGAGAGTGTTACAGTTTTCTGAATGTTCACAATGGAAGCTCATAATGATACGCTTTCAAAACTCAACTAAGAATTCATTAATAATTATTTTAATTTCTAGTGGCAAAAGTTAAACTGTGAAACACAAGCAGATTCATGCAAATTCATATAAACTGCTCAAAGGAGATGATAATATGGCGGAAACATTGCTTCACTGGTGCCTTACTCTAAAATCCCAAGTTTTACTGATTCAGTGAAAACAGTTTATTCAAGGGGATCACCATATCCAAAGTATGTCAAGTATCTCAAATTGGATCTACAGTCTTTGATCCCAGATTATCTGCTTTGAACTAGATTTTATGAGTCTACACTGCCATATAATCCAAAGCAAATAATCTGGGTTCAGAAACTGGATTCCATGACAGTGTAGAAGGGGTCTCAGTCTTGCAAAGCTAACACTGATTTTTATGCTGGGGACAAAATCTCTATTTTCCTGAAGATTGTGCCCATTAGCTATGCCTGCTATGAGCTTATATTTAATTTTCTGCCATTGGGGACAAGGGGAATAGTCTGAAAAACAAAATCTACTACACTAACTAAAGCTGCCTACATCCTTTCAATAGTTCTTACACTGATATCAGATGATATCAAAGGAACAGGGTGGTTTCAGTTCCAAATTTCCAACAGCTGGCCATGTACACTCTGTCCAGCAACTAGCTGAGATATGTATAATATAATGCTTTCTTCACCTTTGTTGGTTTTTATTTACACATAGCTATGTCAAAATACACATAGTGCTTTGCAAGCAAAATACAGTATTACTGGCTTTGAAAATTTCAAAATGGACAACCACCAGCTGCAGTAAATCTTGCCAATTGAAAGACTGACAGTTCGAAGTCCAGATCGAGGTGAGTTCCTAGCCTTTAGCCTAGCTTCTGCCTGTTGGAATTCAACTCCACACTGCTCAAGTCTGCAGTCCTCAAAGAGGAACAGTTTAGTTAGCTTAGAATAGTTTAGGGACCCTTCCACCCCAACCATATATCCCAGAATATCAAGGCAGAAAATCCCACAATATCTGCTTTGTTTCTGCTCTCATTCTGATTGGTTGTTTAAAATGGATAATTATCTATTGCAATTCTTTTAAAATTTGATTTCTGTTGCTTACATCTGAGGGCCCTTCCACATAGTCCTATATCCCAGAATATCAAGGCAGAAAATCCCACATTATCTGAGTGTGGACTCTGATAACCCAGTTCAAAGCACATTGTGGGATTTTCTGCTTTGATATTTTGGAATATAGGGCTATGGGGAAGGGCCCTGAGTATGTGCTGTGTGCTTTGAGATCTCTCCATCTGTGTGTGTGTGTGTGTGTCAGAGAGATGTAGTGCTTGGTGCCCCCTCCCCTCTTTGAAACCTTAGAAGAGATGGGTGATAGAGTAGCTCAGACCCAGTTCTTTACCATGAATAAATGTGGTTGGTTCTTTATTATTGTAAATAGACCTTTTGTGATTTTTTAAAGATTGAATTCTGCATTTTTGCCTGCCTAAGCTCTTAATTCTTTACTTCACGCTTTGCTTGCTGTGAGCTGATGCTCAGACTTTTAGTATCCTGATTGTTTTTGGATGCTGTGCTATATTTTAGGGTAGTTTCCCCTAACACTGCCAACTTAGCAATTTGAAGGCAAAATGTGAGTAGAAAATTAGGTACCGCTTAAAGCAGGAAGGTATTTAAGGCAACCATAAGGAAATGCCGGTGATTCGATCAAGGAGGAAGTTTGTAAACAAAGCTCCTTGGCAGGGAAGATGGTGAAACAGCAACAGCAACAGCAACCCCCCCCCCCAAATGGTCGGAACCCAGAACAAGCCTCCAAGATGCCGAAGATGAGAAAAGCCTATATATGTGTATGTGTGTGTGTGTGTGTGTGTATGTATAATTGTCTGTCATGTCAGTGTATAAATGGCATTGAATGTTTGCTGTATATGTGTTCTGTGATCCACTCTGAGTCCCCTTTGGGATGAGAAGGGTGGAATATAAATACTGTAAATAAATAAGTAAATACATTTGGGCAGTGCAGATGATTTTTTTTCTTTGTGTCAAGAACAATTTGAGAAACTGCAAGTCACTTCTGGTGTGAGAGAATTGACTGTCTGCAAGGTCGTTGCCAAGGGGATGCCTGCATTTTAGGTGTTTTACCATCCTTGTGGGAGGCTTTAGCAAGCGAGAGTCCAAAAGTGGCAGGCTCAAACCCAGAACCTCAATCAATGGCTGATAACAAATGAGAGACTTCCCCCTGGGCACACAGAAAAGTGGGCGACTTGGAAGGCGCTGAACAGACTGCGCTCCGGCACCACGAGTTGCAGAGCCAATCTTAAGAAATGGGGCCACAAAGTGGAATCCACGACATGCGAGTGTGGAGAAGAGCAAACCACTGACCACCTGCTGCAATGCAACCATAGCCCTGCTACATGCACAATGGAGGACCTTCTTGTGGCAACACCAGAGGCACTCCAAGTGGCCAGATACTGGTCAACGGACATTTAATCAACTACCAAGTTTGCAAACTTTGTGGTTTGTTAAAAATGTAATACAACTGTCTGGTTGCTCCTGACACAATAAATAAATAATAAATAATGGGGAGCTGGAGCTGACAGAGGGAGCTCAACCCACTCTCCCTGGATTCACACTGCTGACCTATCAGTCAGCAGTCCCACCGGCACAAACGTTTAACCCATTGTGCCGCTAGGGGCTCCTAGTGCAGAAGATGAATGTAATTCAAAATGAATGAATGACCGAAAGTCAGGTTGTCAATTATGTCCCACACAATCCCTGGCCAGCATATCCATTTACATCACAGAGTAAAGATTGGGGTCCATACTGTTTGAGGTCTTGATGAAAATCTAATTTTCCAATGGAATGGAATGGCTTTGGGGCCAGAGAATCTGAAGCCACCCTTGTCCTTTGACTCAGGAAACAAGCCAGGATGCATTTTGGGAAGAGTCCAAGAGAAGGACAAGAGATGGCACCTCATTTGATTCCACTGAAGTCAGTACTGCCTGTAATGTACTGAATGAGACCGGAATGGAATGAACTAGATATATGCTAACCAGCCTGAAGAAACCAAGAGACTCTATACTGCAGAGACCACACAGTTCAGAGATCTTGGCTCCATCTAGGGTTGCAACCGAGTGGAGAAAGCAAGACAGTTTCACTGAAACTATTCCCTCCAGTTCTGAGAGTACGGTTCAATAAATTAAACTGGGAATATGGAGCCTACGCCAACAGTAAACAACAAAGGCGCTTAGCTTTCGGCAATGACTATATCTTGTTAGCTAAGGATACAGCAGAACCGGAGAGGGAAAAGTGAACAGCTGGAGTCAATGTTGTGCAAAATTAGACTGGAAATGAATATCTTATGAAAAATAAATGAATGCACAGTGAACATCGCCCAGCAAGTTCTGCTCAAGAAACCTGGAGCTGCATCTGTTTTGCTCAATAAATGATAAATATCAATCCTTTTTCAGTCGTAAATGCCGCAGTAAAAGAACCGCAGCACGGAGCTTCTTCAACACCATAAAATCGTAACCACATGATAAGTGATTCCTGAAGAACAACTAGAGAACTTCACAACCAAGAGACAAATTCTGTTGTGATGCCACATCTACCAGCATTTCACAGATTTTTTTTTTTTATGTCAGGAGCATCTAGAGAAACTGCAAGTTACTTCCGGTGTGAGAGAATTGGCCGTATGCAAGGATGTTGCCCAGGGGACGCCCGGATGTTTGCTGTTTTACGAACCTTGTTCTCTCATATTCCCATATGGTGCTGGAGCTGACAGAGGGAGCTCATCCTCACTCTCCCTGGATTTGAACTAACAACATTCAGGTCAGCAACCCAACCTTCAAGTCAGCAGTCCTGCCAGCACAAGGGTTTAACCCATTGCGCCACCGAGGGCACCTATTCCACAGATGAAAATCAGGGTGCCGAGCAACATCAGTGTGAGGCCAAGAAGTCAAAAATTATTAATAAGTAAGAATGCACAAGCTAAGACAAGATGCAGCAGTTTTCTTTTGACTGAGCCAACTGAGAAAGGCAAAATGTTGACCTGCCCAATTCCAATTGCAAACTACACTGAACTCAATTTACAGCAATTGAAGTAACCCAGTGGCACATCTGACTGAGAGGTCGG